GCTAACCAGTTGATCATTAGGTTCCCCTCTATAATGAATATATATAGTGCTGGGTGGGAGGCGGGCAAGTGTACCTGGTGCCCCCTCTATAATGAATATATATAGTGCTGGGTGGGCGGGGGGCAAGTGTACCTGGTGCCCCCTCCAGCTGGAAATGGGCTGGAAACCCTGAGGACTCTCTCTACTGTGGTCTGTATCCTAGATCCTGGACAGTTTACAATATACTCCAGGTAAACAGGAAAATCAGTTTGAAAACCTGCTAAACCTGCTGTCGTCTTCAAACAGTCATTGAAAAAAATATAGTTTCTTAAATTTTAAACTGGATTCATTACAAAATAATTAATGACTAAAGCGGCATCTCTCTAGTTAAAGAATGGACGAATAACAACCTATCTACCTTCCTTCCTTCCTACCTACATCTTTCTATCCACCAACCTACGTAACCATCTAGCTTCCTACCTACCTACATCTTTCTATCCACCAACCTACCTAACCATCTACCTTCCTTCCTACCTACATCATCTTTCTACCCACCAACCTACCTATCTACCTTCCTTCCTACCTACATCATCTTTCTACCCACCAACCTACCTACATCATCTTTTTACCCACCAACCTACCTAACCATATACCTTCCTTCCTACCTACATCATCTTTCTACCCACCAACCTACCTAACCATCTAGCTTCCTACCTACATCATCTTATCTATCTACCTAGGTTGGTGTCCGTGTGCTATGTCGACAGATCTCCCCTGTAATTCCTGGAGATTATAACACCAGTTGTCTACCAGCATCAGCTTTTATTTTTACCGTAGAAAACAACAGCGATGTGAATCTACAGGTTTACATACACATTAACAATTGTTATCATTGATTTTTTATTAAGTGTTTATAATGGTGTGACACAGATGGCTGTTAAATCAGTAAAAGAAACTTTTATATATTTTTTATTTTAAGCGAGTTTTTTTAATATTAAATATGAAAACTTGGCTTGTTGAAATCATTAATATTTTTTTTCTCAAATTCAGAAGTTTACTTAATCTTCTCTATCATGGTGTTGTAGAAAACTGTAATAAGGTTGTCTATTATTGCTTTAAACTTCAGCAAAGCTATGAGTATCAATAACATTTTTAAGGGGACTGTCGGCTTAATTTCAAGTGACCATCCATTTACATAGTTTCAGTTAAAAATTTCTAGTTACCGAGTTACCGAGTATTTTTATTTAAAGGTTGTTGCTTCTCTGCAAGTGAAAGAAAATTTATCGGTTCTCAGGATTTAAAAACGAATATATTTTCCTCATTTTTACCCAGACATGGGTTGAAGGGGTACATTTGTCAATTGGTCATGTAACTTTTTAATGGAGGATCACTTTGAAATTACGTCTCAGTCCCTTTAAGAGAGATGAATAATAGCTCTGGTTTAGGTGAGTATTACGTTAAGTTTCAAGAACGGTACTGGAGGAAAGGCGGATAAGGAGGGAGGAGTCAGGACTCAACCTTTCCAGCAAGAAAACTCAAGGTACATCAGAAGTCGGTGGTATTTTAATTACATTTGCGGAAGAGGAGGGTTGAAGCTTAGAAAGTTTTAGGGTAAATTATAAATGGGCTTTCATGCTTTTGAAAAATATTTTTTCCAATCTTTCTTGAAACAAATATGTTAGCTAATTCTCTTCAAAACCTAAATTTATTGATAAAAACCTGCTTTTCTATACAACATTTTTCAATTTTAAATGCAATGGTTCCTTGGGCATTTCTCCATTGAAGTCCAATGTCAAAATAAACATTTACTCACTGTAAAGCACGATTAAGAAAAACTGCTTAGGGTTAACCGGACAAGACAATTAACTGATGATAATACTGGGTAATTAGTTCTGCAACGTTTCTCTTGGGGACAGTACATGGTACAGAGTTGAACTTTGTTCATTGCTGCGTACCATCTAATTCATTTATGTATTGTAGTGGAGTTAGTATACACGGGAAGATCCGGGGTGAAGTCATGGTTTACAGTATTGGAGCTAGGAAGGATGACAAGAGATCAGTTTCTTGGTGCTCAGGCTTTGATCCAAAGGTAGAATATGATTCATAAGAGACTTGTCTGATTGTTTGATTGGCAGATTTATTGATTCATGAATTAATAGATTGATAGATTGATAGATTGATGGATTGATTTACAAATTAATGGATTGATTGATGGATTGACAGATTAATAGATTGGTTAATTTATTGGTTAATTGATTGGTTAATTGATTGGTTAATTGATTGGTTAATTGATTGGTTGATTGGTTGGTTGATTGATTGGTTGATTGATTGGTCAATTGATTGGTCAATTGATTGGTCAATTGATTGGTTAATTGATTGGTAAATTGATTGGTTAATTGATTGGTTAATTGATTGGTTAATTGATTGGTTAATTGATTGGTTAATTGATTGTTGGATGGAGAGATTGATTGTTTAATTTGTTGATTGATTGTACTGTAGGGAACTGGTGAGAAGGTTTGGCGTGGGTTGGAGCAGAACAATAAACTTGAGAGTGAACCTGAAGCAACACAACCCACATCTCCAGGACAAGAGGTTGCAGTTGCAGTATCTAGCAGGTAATCCCCCGGACAAGAGGTTGCAGTTGCAGTATCTAGCAGGTAATCCCCCGGACAAGAGGTTGCAGTTGCAGTATCTAGCAGGCAATCCCCCAACCCTGCATTTTTATCCTTTGTGTAAAATGTGACAACTATTCTTTCTGAAAATGTAGTGAAGAGCTAAATATTGTTTATTTTCATTTGTTTTCAATCTAAAATTATTATGAAAACCATAAATGTATATATTTATGTATTTTTTAAAAATTGCTTTGTCACATCATGATTCACTTTTTTCTTTTAATCCAATTCTATAATCAAAATGGTCAAAATGAAGCGTGTCTCCTGAAAGGATAAGTTTGTGGTAGACACCCCTCAAGGAATTTTGGATAACCTATTATTCAATTTAAGAGATTTAGCAATAAAAAAGTTATAAGTTGAAATTGTTAGAATGCCCTGGTATTATAGGATGCTGGTGGAGAAGCGAAGTTGTGGAACCCTGGATTTAGCTTTAGCTTGGGATAATCCAAAGATCAAATTTAGGAACAAGATTTATTACCATTTATAGCATATCCGCCAACCATTGATAATGATCTCACTGTTCAATATTTTACATGACATATTTAATTGGCGCTTTTCTAATTGGAAAATGAAAAAAAGATGAGAACATCCTAGCCGAGTTTTAACTTGTCCTGCCCTGTAGAGATGGAAACAAGGTTTACAGGAGAAGATATACTAGAAGGTTCGGAATAGATGGACAAGCAGGCCCCAAACTTGTCAGTCATGCTTTAAGGTAACATACATTTAAGAAACGAAAAGTCCAGACTAAAGAAAAAATTTGGAAAGGGCATGGTTAATGGTCATTAAAGAAGCTTTTGCTAGGAGTTGGGAAGATTGGGATCGATGGATAGAGGAATGGCAAGAACCGGTTTTATCGGATTCTGAGCTTCCTGATTGGTTCAAGTCTGCAATCTTTAATGAACTATACTTCCTGTCAGATGGAGGAGGGGTTTGGCTGGAGGTTGAGGAGGGTGAGAACCTTTCCTCCTTAGACCCGAGGTAACATTTGAATATTGCAAACATTTCCTTTACTGTTCTTAAACACCCTCCCCCTCCCTGAACAAAATTCTTTGCTTTTAGAATATTAAAATCTTTAGATTCATATGTTCAGATACAGATATCAAGCTTTATACCGTAGGTTAGAGTACGGAAGATGGGGCTACCTTGAATCCCATGAGTACAGAATGTACAACACTTATGATGTACACTTCTATGCTTCTTGGGCTCTCATAGATCTTTTTCCTGGTAACTCAATTTTAAGATCATGCTTTATAACGTAGTAAAACTAAAGTTCTTCGAAGATAATATCATAAAACAGTTGTTTACAATGACATACCCATGATCCATGTTTGCACTGTAGGTCTAGAGCTGTCTCTACAACTGGACTTCTTGGACTCCGTAGTGAGGGAGGACAAGGACCCACAGAAAGAACTATACGGAGGGAAAATTACTCCTAGGAAGGTAAAGAAGAATATTTCCTTATTGAGACTAAAGAAAACCAGCTGATGACAATATAGTCAACAGTAAATCAGTTGACGCTAATACAATCAGCTGGCTTCAGTAAATCAGTTCACTTCTGTACATTCAGTTCACTACATTAGAATCAGTTTACTACAGGACAATCAGCTCATTAAAATTTAATTTATTTAATATTTAGATTAAGGACTCTGTGCCTCATGATTTGGGGGACCCAGAGGAGGAACCCTGGCTCAAGGTTAATTTTTATTTTTATAAAACGTAATAAGGTTAGATAATCTGTCTTTAAGATTTAAAAATATACATTCTATTTGATGCAGGTGAACAGTTACAATATCCATGATGTATCCGAATGGCGAGATCTAAACCTGAAGCTGGTTATCCAAGTCTGGAGAGATATAAAACTTTTACCTGAAAAGGTTGGATTACATTGGGTTACAAAAAAGGAATTAGAAAATCAGAGCTTGTGGCAAAAACTCAATTCCTTTACTTTTATTATCCTAAAAGTATGCCTGATTTCACTTTAACAGGCAGTACCTAGACAGTCAGGCAGTTGACTTAGAGCTTTGATTTTCTGTTACACGATGTTTGATAACCCCTGCCAATTACGGTTAAAAAGTATTGCAATAAAAACCGAGAATAAATGAAATAATGCCTTGAAACTACAGATACTTTTGAATTCAGAGCTTAAATTGCACCTTTTTTTCTTTTATTATTTTCTCAAAAAAGGGCATAACAGATATTTCTATTTTTTGGTGACATACAGGGTGTCCCACGAAACATGACAATAGCAAGACGACTTGGAAGTCGTCTTTGGTATTTGAATTTATTTGTGACATTTAGTCTTCTATCTACTTTAACATGTATGCTTCTTGAAACAATTATCACATAATTCTCCTAGCCCTGGCATTTCCAAAAAGTGGTCTGCGTTTTTTGTGCTTTCAATATTACCGGAGATATAAAGAGTTTGGTTCAGATTTCAATTTTGTTAAATAAAAGCAAAATTGCCGAAATCTGAACGAAATTCTTCATATCTCGGGCAATATTGAAAGCACAAAAAAGGCAGACCACATTTTGGAAATGGCAGGACAAGGGAAATTTTGTGATTATTATCTCTAGAAATTTACTTCTAAAATTAGGTTGACAAATAAACGCAGCAAATTATATCAAAAATCAAGACGACATTCAAGTCGTCCTGCATACTGTCATGTTTCTTGGGACAACCTGTATATTCTACTATACTGAATTGACAGAACCAAAATGCCAAGCAAGAAATTGCTCTGAGTGCTTAGTGTTCTATAAATATTGTATCCTGATAATGTTAAGATGTTAAGCATTATTTACAGGAAAGTGCATATCTATTGGAACAAGCGCTCCCTGTGTGCGCGGCATTGATGGAGGTTGCGCAGTCCTGGGACAAAGACGGAGACGGACTTATAGGTTAGATTTTTTAATTTATTCTTTATCATCATCACTGATAAAATTAAATGGAACTGAAACGTTTTAAGTAAATCAGTTTTAAGCTTGTAAACCCATTTTTTATTCCATTCTTGGCCAACATAGGTTGCCTATGATGAATGCTGCAAACTATTTCTAAGGTCAAAACAACTTTTAATATATTTATACGATTCCGGTTTATTTTGGATGGCACTGTAACCAAAATATTTGTTCTAGAGAACAGTGGCTGGCCCGATCAAACCTTTGATAGTTGGGTGATGCTTGGTGCATCTGCTTACTGCGGCGGACTATATTTAGCTTCTCTTGCCGCTATGGCGGACATGTCAGACCGAGCTGGTCTTGAACATCAGGTTAGTGGGGGTGGGGGCGGGGTTACATGAAAAATGAAAAGCTGCATTTTTATTTTTTGATTTCTTTATTTTAAACTAGTGCCTAAAATATTTCTCTTTATAGCTGTAAAAATAAATTTTGTTTAATTAATTTACTTGCAGTGGAGAGAGAAGCTGTCGGCTGGAGAACTAAGTTTTGAGGAGAAACTATGGGGTGGAGACTGCTTTAAGTTTGATACTAGTCCTAGGTATTTATGATTTGTAATACTGCTTCAAGAATTATCATTCGATTGATTCATTTGTGATATTTGCCAGCAAATTAAGAATGTCCAGATAAACTATTTTAGAGGAGAGAATGTGATAATGGCTGATCAGCTTGCTGGATACTGGTACTGTAAGATTACAGACCCAACTCAGGTAAATATATCTTGCTGGATACTGGTGGTGTAAGATTACAGACCCAACTCAGGTAAATATATCTTGCTGGATACTAGTGCTGTAAGATTACAGACCCAACTCAGGTAAATATATCTTGCTGGATACTGGTACTGTAAGATTACGGACCCAGTTCAGGTAAATATATCTTGCTGGATACTAGTGCTGTAAGATTACAGATTTAACTCAGGTAAATATATCTTGCTGGATACTTGTACTGTAAGATTACAGACTTAACTCAGGTAAATATATTTTGCTGGATACAAGTACTGTAAGATTACGGACCCAGTTCAGGTAAATATATCTTGCGGGATACTAGTGCTGTAAGATATCATACCCAACTCAGATGAATAGCATCTTGATATATTTTTACCACATCAATACTTAAAGGTAGTGTTTACAATTTTTAAAGGAGCAGTGCAGTATCGATACATTATCTTATTTTCATTTGTCCTTTAAAATAATAAACACCTATTATAGAAAATATTAATAAATAAAATCTTAACATTTCACAACTAGGGATGGGCAATAGCAATAGCCAGATTCGTTTTACAGAAACTTTTGCATTGTTATTCTAGAAGAAAATGTAAGGCCAAAACGATCTTTTATAACGATCGTTTTGAGTCTTAAAAACGATAGTTTTTGGTTCGTTTTTGCCTTAAATTTTCACCTAGTATAACAAATTTGCATGTTTGCATTGCCCATCGCTATTCACAAGAGTACCCTTAAAACCTGAATCTGAGCTATAAAGAGGAATATAACGTAATTTTTTCTCAAGTGTGGAATTTTGACAATTCTTTTTTTCTGAAGCATAAATTCGCGAGTTACTTGTTTGGGTATTAACAATTTTAAACAGGAAGCCAAGCATATCATTTTTGTTTTGACGAAGGTTTAATTGGTACCGTTGTGAGTCGGACATGGCACTCTTTATATGATCGTATAAAATTACGTATACAGTGCCTTTAATATACATAATTCTGTTTGAATAAACCTTGTCTAATACAGGGTACAGTCCCTTTAATATGCATAATTCTGTTTGTATAAACCTTGTCTAACACAGGGTACTCTCCCTTTAATATACATAATTCTGTTTGAATAAACCTTGTCTAATACAGGGTACTCTCCCTTTAATATGCATAATTCTGTTTGAATAAACTTTGTCTAATACAGGGTACAGTCCCTTTAATATGCATAATTCTGTTTGAATAAACCTTGTCTAATACAGGGTATACTTCCTTTAATATACATAATTCTGTTTGAATAAAACTGTCTAATACAGGGTACTCTCCCTTTAATATACATAATTCTGTTTGAATAAAACTGACTAATACAGGGTACTCTCCCTTTAATATACATAATTCTGTTTGAATAAAACTGTCTAATACAGGGTACTCTCCCTTTAATATACATAATTCTGTTTGAATAAAACTGTCTAATACAGGGTATACTGGACCCGGAGAAGGTTTTAACCTCTCTTAAAACAATTTTTTCCAACAACGTGATGAAATTCTGCGAGGGAACCCAAGGTACTTCTCGTCAATTTGATTAATAAAGAGCTGAAAATAGTTTTTAAATAATGTTTGAAATATTTAAAATGTTTACTTACTTGTTACATGTTTTGATGACTGCAAAGACCGGGTGGTCCATAAACGCAGACTTTTCTGAACAGAGATCGATAAAACTAGGCTTCTGTGCTTTAGATCTAGCTCTCTGTCCTGGAACATGATAAATCATATACTAATTTTAAATAAAGGTTCTTAGAAGTTTTTGATTTCTCGTTTGTGGATTAATATTGTTGGACGTTGGTTGGATGGTTCGCTGGTTGCTTAGTTGTTGCAGATGGATTGGCTAAAGGAACTGTAAGCGTTTTTTCAAGTGACCCTCCATGCAAAGATGGCAAAGCCCTGTTCACAAAGATGCCCTTGAAATCTTTGTCTGATCAATAATGTGGAAGATACCGTTTTTTTATAGATTTAAAAGTGTTTAATTCTTATAATTCCAACATATTTTCCTGCAGTAGAAATGTGCAAATCACTTCATCAAACAAAGCTTTTAAGGGTATTGTTAAAAATCAGGCATCTTTATATGGAGGGTCGTATGAAATTACGCTTACAGATATTTTGTTTGGTATGTTTCATTGAACTTTATTTCATTGATAACTAAACTTGTGGATTGAGGAATGTTTAAGTATTTTGCATTGAATTTTATTTCATTGATAACTAAACTTGTTGAATGATGAATGTTTAAGTATGTTGCATTGAACTTTATTTCATTGATAACTAAACTTGTTGATTGATGAATGTTTAAGTATGTTGCATGCACTTTATTTCATCGATAACTAAACTTGTTGATTGATGTATGTTTAAGTATGTTACATTGAACTTTATTTCATTGATAACTAAACTTGTTGAATGATGAATGTTTAAGTATGTTGCATTGAACTTTATTTCATTGATAACTAAACTTGTGGATTGAGGAATGTTTAAGTATGTTTCATTGAACTTTATTTCATGATAACTAAACTTGTTGATTGAAGGTTTAAGTATGTTGCATTGAACTTTATTTCATTGATAACTAAACATATTGATTGATGAATGTTTAAGTATGTTCTTTGAACTTTATTTCATTGATAACTAAACTTGTTGAATAATGAATGTTTAAGCATGTTGCATTGAGCTTTAATTCATGATAACTAAACTTGTTGAATTATAAATGTTTAAGTATGATTCATTGAACTTTATTTCATCGATAACTAAACTTGTTGAATTATGAATGTTTCAGTATGTTGCATTGCACTTTATTTCATTGATAACTAAACTTGTTGATAGAAGGCCATGGCTGAAAAACCAGGAATGGGGAGGACTTGAAACTCCGATCCACAACTGGAGCCTTTGGCCATCCCTACAACTTATGATTTGATATGATGATTTGATGAATGTTCAGGTGCTGTAAACGGTATGCTAAGAACAGGAGGAGTTGACCGGAGTACAGTACAGAGTGAAGAGGTATGGACAGGGGTCACCTATGCTCTGGCCAGCTTAATGATAGCTGAAGGATTAGTTACTCAGGGATTTAAAACAGCTGAAGGAATTTACAGGTTAGAAACCTCTCGGACAAATTAAAGCATTTTTATTGATATCATAGTATTATGAATATTATTATTGATATTATCATTGTCATTTTCATTATTATTAGAACCCATCATATTGTACTAAATAAGATTTTATCAACCCCTCAAGAATTTGATATTTTTTATCTCCTAATTCCCCTGAAGTTCTCAATCCTGGGACCAAATTTAATTAATGGTGTGAAGTAGTTAAACTACGTAGACTAAGTTTAATCACATCTCTTAAGCTCAAACGGCAAACTAAAGAAGTGGTTCATCCAGGTCTTCAAAACTCAACCACCTCTCGCTATTCATTATTTTTAATCCCTGTTCAGTTAGAAATTGGTTTAAATTTTTTTTTTTAAGTTGTCATTTTTTTCATTTATAAAAAGGACGGTGTATGAAACTATAGGACTCGGCTATGAGACCCCTGAAGCTCTTTATGAAAAGAAACACTACAGGAACAAAATATTAATAAGATAAAAAATATATATTTAATCTATTGGGGAGTAGATTGTTTCTTAAACGTTGCAAAAAAAATGAAGGCATTGGTGTGGTTTTTTCTATAAAAAAGCTAATTTATTTCGTAGCTGGGACCAAATATTAACAAAATTTGAACAGTTGTTTATTTATAATAAAAATTATTATGAAATCTCGTTAAAGTTTTCTTGGAATATTATTGATATTTCGTTGTTGTGCAGAGCTATTGGGTACATGCGCCCTCTTAGTATATGGTCCATGTATATAGCCTGGAGAAATAGAAAGAAATCACAGAAGAAGAATATTACAATATAAAAATTTAATATTATATGTAACAAAGAAGCTTTATCGGCTGCAAATACACTGTACAAACCATTGTAAAGTGTCAAAAATAATTGCCATAATAACATTTTAAAAGGCTGACTTCTAATTGTGCTATTATAAAAGCACATTTTGAGTGTTCTCCTATTATTTATGTTAAATATACGGGAATAGTTCGTAAAATGGTAAATCGAATATAAGAGCATTCAGCATGCAATTATGATATATATTTTGAAGAAAAATTTTAGAAGACCCGGGGAGAAAGAAATGTTTTTTTCATTTTCTAATAATCATTTTCTGGAAAAAATTCGCCTTGCACAAATATTCCTTATTTACTGTGGACATCAATTATTCTGCAAATAAACTGAGGGGAGGGAGATTTTTCTAGAAACTTGTACTTTTCACTTTGCTTTGCCTTTTCACCTGACCCTATAGTTTGTAAAATGCCACGTTTCTGTGATTTAACAATTGCTCTGTGATCGACTATTGTACAAAAGTTATAATTTAACCTAGCTTATTAATTCATCCTGGTTGCTTTAATCTTGATTTGATATTTCTAAATTTCAAATCCTAGATTTATTTAGTATTAACAAAGACATTTTTTATGCAAATTATGCTTTTACATAGTTTTGACGCAATAGACTAACAAAGTAGTATTTTAATAAAGCAATAAAACTTATGTTTTGAAATGCACTGTGCAAATTGTGCCTTTGACGCAATGTGTAAACCTAGCAATATTTGTAAGTGATATTCTTTGATTTTTTTAGGGGTTTTTTAATATTATTGTATTATTTTAGTGTCGGATTCTGTAACTTTTTGATTGTTTGAACTTATGAATATTGCAGAGAAAGAATGAAATTCTTCTCTCTGTGGATAGTTTGAATTCTCTAAGCTTAGCAGCTTAAAGGAATTACAAGAAACGGAAAAGAACTGAAACAACCAGAAAATCTAAAAAAAAGCTAAGAAAATCCAAAGAAAAATATTGGTCCTCCAAAAAATTTAGAAAAGGCGGAGGTCTTAAATAAGTATGAGCACTAAGCGTGTGTTCAGTATACAAAGTCCGCATGGTCCAGGGGGAGTATTCTTTGCCTGGCAAAGAACAAGTGGAGGATACCTGGCCACTACAGGCTATGACCAGGTAAACTTTTTATCAAATACAAAATTCAGAATACTGGAAGGAATTGTACTTCCTAATAAATAAGAAGGATGAATCAAGCAATTCCTTTAAATTATGATTTGATTTCATTTCGTTTCGTTTAATATTTTTTCGATAATTTTTATTTAACTTAATATCGTTTCGTTTCGTTTGCTGATGATTTGATTTGTTTTGATTTGATTTCATTTGATTTGATTTGATTTGATTTGATTTGATTTGATTTGGTTTGGTTTGGTTTGGTTTGGTTTGGTTTAGTTTGGTTCGATTCTGTTCGATTCGATTCGATTCGATTCGATTCGATTCGATTCGATCAGATTCGATTCGATTCGTTATAATTTCATTTGATTTGATCCCAGTTTGTCGATTTCCAGAAATGCAAGTGTTTGTCAGAATAAAAGAAATAAACATTCCTGGAGGGTTACTTTAAAACTACGCGGATAATAATGAACGTCTTGTTTAGGTGATAAATATATACAACCGGCATGCAGATGTTGTTGAGAAACTTAGACTTCCTGGCATGTGTTCATGCTTTGGATGGGACAAGTAAGTCATTTATTCACTTATTCATGCTTTGGTTGGGAAAGTAAGTCAGTTATTTATTTGTTCATGCTTTTGGTGGGACAAGTAAGTAATTTATTCACTTATTCATGCTTTGGTTGGGACAAGTAAGTAATTTATTCACTTATTCATGCTTTATTTGGGACCAGTAAGTCATTTATTCTCTTTTTCATGCTTTGAGTGGGACAAGTATGTCATTTATTCACTTTTTCATGCTTTGAGTGGGACAAGTATGTCATTTATTCAAGTCACAATTTAAAGAATAAAGTATGCTGTCTCTTAAATACTATGGCAGCTTTTATTTAAATGTTCCACAAAACATGAAAGTAAAAATAAAACAATTTTCAGCTGTATTTATTAATTTATTCTGAATGTTTTCTATCTGTCAGGGATGGTGATCTGTTGGCTGTTATAACAGATAAATCTGCAAATCTATTAATCTGGGATGCTAATACTGCCAGGAGCCAATGGTTGGATACAGGTCATATTTTTATTAGAAATGTATGGCTCAATTTCATTTGCTATAAACATTTGCCATAATTGCTTTTTTTACGCTTGCCAAAGTTAATTCAGCCATAAGTTACATGGTCATAATTGTAACGTTTTCATCAAAAATAAAAATAACTTCTTTATATTAGCCACCTAATCTGTCCTGGCCTCAGCGCTTAGCCTCCTAGCCGCGGCGCTCGTCTCCCATCCAATATAGCCTGTGTAATAATATAACAAGTGTAATAATATAACAAGTGTAACAATATAACAAGTGTAACAATATAACAAGTGTAATAATATAACAAGTTTAATAATATAACAAGTGTAATAATGGCAATGCGATTATTGCAAATGAAAAGACAGAGCACAAATTATTCACCACTTAATTTTTAAAGTTACAATTTTAAAAACTGTTTACTTTCAAGGGATTAGAGACCCATTGAACGTCCTGATCTGGTCAAAAACAGGTAGATAGCTTTACTAAGTTACTAAGTTACTTAATGAGTAATGAACAATGTCGCCTAATTCAAACTACACCATTTATACATGCATTTATATCTTTGTGTGTGAATAAATCTTTATAATTATATAAAAATAATTTTATCGGATACTAGTGTAAGGGCCCGGCGTTGCCCGCAGAATTTTATGTATATTAATGTCTTGTTTTATTATATAGATAACTAGCGTTGCCCGTGAAAAAAATATTTGCATTTTTTTGCCTTTAACATCCCCCGGCCACCCATGAGTGTCCACAAAAAGTTTCAGTCCAATCGGTCCAGCCGTCTGGCCGTCTATACGCAACTTATACGAATGTCTGGTTTTATTATATAGATATTATTATTATTATTATTATTATTATTAACAATCAACCTACAGTTAAAGTATACTCTAAATGATTACAAACACATTTATACTTGGGCAATTCAAAAATGTTGTCGTTTTCCTGGTATATCTGTAAAATCTTAAACTGTATTGCCAAATTCTTATTAAATAAAAAAAATGAAACCCAAAGTTCAATTAAAAATATAGAATTAAAAAAACTCTTCTTTAATTTTTAAAAAATACTAAAATACTTGGTTGCAAAGAAATTGAACCTCCAGTCTATATATCAGGAGCTAAAATAATCCCTAAATTTAGGACCAACCCTAGCGATCGGGAGCTATCGAGGGAATTTAATGATATATAATCATAAAACTGCTAAACGAGTTCCAGTAATAGGTAGGTTGTTCAGTAAACTAATTTTATAGATTAATCAAATGTTTTGCTTTGTTTGATTTGATTATTTGTGCTTGGAATTGATTGAGATTCGTTTAACTGATTTGATGGTTAGTTGGTTTAGTGATTTATGATTTTTTGAGAATTGCTGAATGATTGATTAATTGATTGATTGACTGAAGATTGTTGGTTGATTGACTGATTGTCTAGGAAAGCACAGTAAGGCTATAACATGTGGTGCCTGGAGTTCAGGAAACCTGTTAGCTCTAGGTTCAGAGGATAGAACACTTTCAATATCTAACTTGGATGGAGATACTGTCAGGTAGACTCAGTCATTCATTCATTCATTCTTCATTCATTCATTCTTCATTCATTTATTCATTCATTCATTCATTTATTCTTTTATTCATCCTTTCATTTATTCATTCATTCATTCATACATTCATTCATTCATACATCCTTTTATTCGTTTATTTATTCATCCTTTCATTTAATTAGTTATTCATTCATTCATTCATTTTTTCATCCTTTCATTCATCCTTTCATCCATACTCTTATATATTTATTTATTCATCCTTTCATCCTTTTACCCATTTATCTTGCACGCATTCATACATACATTCATTTATCATGCAAACATTTATCCATTCATTCATGCATTTCTTTTTCATTTATTTATTAAAACATTCTTTCATTCATTTATCTATAAACTTATTCATTCATTTATGTATTTATCTCACAATCATTAATGGTTTAATTTACTCTTAATTTCATAAACTCATTCTTTTATTCATTCTACTATGCATTCATTTATTTGCTGTACAACAACTGTACAGTTACACATAGTAATTGTACATAAAGATATGTTTTCTTATTACTTTATCCTCTACACTGTAAATGATAGTAAAATAATGATGATATTTAGGATGGCTACCCTGCGAGCTGAACCTGCGGATATACAGTTCTGTGAGATGAAACAGGACGAAAGGAGTAACACGGAGAATACTGTTAGGAACACACACCCTGGCTTCATCCCTTCTGTTGAATGTGTAACCTTTTCCGTAACGTTTTCATTTTTTTTCTACCATCATAAGACAAAGTGTTGGGGGCCAACTTGGTTTGAAAAAGAAATTTCGGGGCTCATTGCGCCCTGCCCCCCTCCTTCGCTAATTATTCTAGTAGCTTAGCTGTTTCTTACAACTCTTTGCTTTGTTTTATGCTGCTGCACTTTTACGGTCTGGTCACTTGACTGCATATTATTGCAATACTTTTTATACGAGCTATTCGAGTGAAGACTGAAAGTCTCCCTATCCTGAGAGTCCCAAACATATATAATATATATGTTACTAGGATATTTCTAGCAATAATTTCTACTTTTCATCGGAAGAAAAATACTGGTTGAGCGCAATTTTTTCGCTGACCGGCCTTAAACATTCCCTAGGGTCATGTGAATTACCACAAAAGAAAATTGGCCCGATCGATTTAGAGTTCATTGCATACAAACAAAGCAAGCTAATGTGTGTGTTCGATAGTTTGATTGTTGGTGGAAAGACTCTTTATCTGTTCAATATGTTTGACCCTGAGAACCCCATAGAGCTGGCCTTCCAGTCCAGATACGGGAATATCATCTCGTACAAGTGGTTCGGAGATGGGTATATACTTATTGGTAAGTCCTAGGATCTCTTAATAGTCTGGTTGAGGGACTTACAATTCTATTATTTTATCAAGGGTTCTCTGCTGGATATTTTGTAGTTAAATTCAAGGTTTCATGCTGGATATTATGGTAATATCCAGTATCCACCTATATTCTATTCCAGGGTTCTCTGCTGGATATTTTGTGTTGTATCCATCTTTATTCTGTTCTAGGTTTCTATGCTGGATATATTGTGGTGATATCCACCTCTATTATATTTAGGGGTTCTCTACTGGATATTTTGTGTTGATATCTACATGTATTCTATTCCAGGGTTGTCTGCTGGATATTCTGTGGTGATATCCGCTTATATTCTATTCTAGGGTTCTCTACTGGATATCTTGTGTTGATATCCACTTATATTCTATTCCAGGGTGCTCTGCTGGATATTTTGTGTTGATATCCACTTATATTCTATTCCAGGGTTCTCTGCTGGATATTTTGTGGTGATATACACCTATATTTTATTCTAGACTTCTCTGCTGGATATTTTGTGGTGATATCCACCTATATTCTATTCCAGGGTTCTCTGCTGGATATTTGGTTGTGATATCCACGTATATTCTATTTTAGGCTTCTCTGCTGGATATTTTGTGGTGATATTCACCTATATTCTATTCTAGACTTCTCTGCTGGATATTTGGTTGTGATATACACCTATATTCTATTTTAGGCTTCTCTGTCTGATATTTTGTGGTGATATACACCTATATTCTATTCTAGGCTTCTCTGCTGGATATTTTGTAGTGATATCCACGTATTTTCTTTTCTAGGCTTCTCTGCTGGATATTTTGTGGTGATATCCACCCACATGAAGGAGATTGGACAAGAGTTGTTCCAGTCTAAAAATCACAGGGAGAGCTTGACTGGAATATCCATCAGTACTGCAATAGGTGGAAAATAAAAATTAAAACTTTTAAAATTCATGGTTTTCCTTGAATACACTTTAGAATTCTTTCTTTAACTTGTACCTTTAACTATGACACTATTCTAGCCTTTTCAAGAATACAGAAGATATAATATATAGATTTATAGAATTCAGAAGATTATCATTGAAAAATCTGAGGTTGTCTCTTATAATTTTATTATTTGTAATCTTGTAAAGATTTCAGCATCCAAAACGATCCAACATTCCGCTTTTATGGGTTGATTGTGTTTTTATATTTCTTTTACGAAGATTTTTTTTTAAGTCGTAAACAATTCTTTTAACAAAAACCAATTTGTTTAGGGAAAGCAGCATCGTGTGGTGATAACATGATCAAGATCCATGAACTGAATGATCTGAAGGAGACGAGTAATGTGATCACACTGGACGATGAACGAGGCCTGGATCACATGGATTGGTCCGAAGACGGTCAACTTCTAGCGGTATCGACCTCCAAGGTCAGTTTATGAAAATTTACATTCCTAAAACTTAATGAATTGTGAAGTTAGCAATATGTTGCTCTGCACTCTGAGGGCGGTCTGGGGGTTCCATGTCGGGTTCCTTTTCAGATCTTATAATTATTTATTTATTTATACTAACTTTATGGATTCTCTGAAGTTTTTATGTACATATAATAGAGACAGGCCCCACAATTTGGAATTCTTTACAATAAAGAAATTGTATGTTAACTGGTTTTTATACATCATACTAAGAACAAAATTACTGGTTTACATTGAAATGCCATGCAGATAAAAACCTTTTTAACACTTTTAAACTCTTTTTTATAAAATAAAGTAATTATTTAATGCATTTGTTAACATTTAATTTCGTTGAAAATGTAAAAAAGATTCTGTCTGGATTATTTGATTATGTTAAGGGTAACCTGCATGTTTACCTATCTAAGCTGCCCCTACTGGGATCATCCTGTCAGACTAGGGTGGCCTACCTGACCTCCCTCCTCGAGGTGACCGTCACCAACGCCGTGGAGAATATGGGGAGTATAGTTGTTGGGGCCGATATAGAACCTGCTTTTCTAGCTCTAGGACCTTTCCATCTAGCACTTGGGATGAATAATAGGTACTATTTAATTAATGAATGAAAGGGAGGAATGATGAATGAATGAATGAATGAATGAATGAATGAATGAATGAATGAATGAATGAATGAAAGGATGAATGAATGAATGAATGAATGAAAGGATGAATGAATGAATGAATGAATGAATGAATGAATGAATGAATGAATGAATGAATGAATGAAAGGATGAATGAATGAATGAATGAATGAAAGGATGAATGAATGAATGAATGAATGAATGAATGAATGAATAAAGAAGTTAAGAAGTTAAGAAGTTAAGAAGTAAAGAAGTAAAGAAGTAAAGAAGTAAATAAATTAAAGCATGAATGCCAATTCATCAATCTAGATTTTTTTCGTGAACTTGTATTTTCTTATTTTTATTTTTTGTCCCTTCTCTGTTTCTTGTTTCATTCTTATTAACTTTATTCTTTTATTAAATATTTTATATTATATATATATATATGTATATTTAGGGCCTGGTTCTACCTACTGGGGGAAGCTAACGTAGATCTGATGCGTGACCGTGAATATCTAGGGACTGTTCAGGATATTCAGCTCAATGCTGATTATTGTGCTGTCAGGTCAGTATTAAGGGATTGTTCCCTAAAAGTCAAGTTGGTCTGATTTGAAGCAAAAGCCCCAAAAACTCCTCCTAGTGGATAATGCTTTTGTTTCCTGAATGAAACTATAACCGTATTTAAGATCAACTCCAATGAGACATAATAACTGTGAAATGGTTGTATGGCGGGACCCATAAAACTGTGGAATAGGAAGACGATAACACATTTGATGTTGTTCTAAAATACCAGAAGTTCAAAAATCAACTTATTAAGTGTGTACAGTGTACAAAGCTGCACAAATGCTATGTATCATATGCATTAAAAATAACTTGCGCCGTCATCTTCAAATTCCACATTTTTATAAACCCCACCGTTTCCAGGTATGATGGTAAGATCCAGCTCCATGTTCTTGAATCTGAAGGATTAGTATCGGAGGAACGTGAATCTAAGATATTCCCGGAGGCGGGGAGAACTGACGTGATCAGCTGTATGGCGCTTACCCCCGACTTCTTGATCTGGGGAACAGATATGGGAGGGTTAAACTACTTCTATATAGAAGACTGGGCAGTTATCACGGAGTTTAAACATATTACAGGTCATTCACGGGTTTTTTAAGATATGAAAATATTTGACCTTTGATTAATCAATTACATAAAATTCAATATTCATTTTTTGGAAGCAAAGTCAAAATAGAGAGATTATTGGGTTTTGAAGAAATTATTAAATTTTTGAATTTTCAATTCAAATGAAAAGCGAAGGTTAAAATTTTTCTTAAACGGTGTTTGGTAAAATTTTATGAACTGTCCCATTTAACGTAATGATAAAAACCCCATCCACCCACAAAATGATTCTCAGACTCACAGATTTATGGTTTAAACGTTCCAATCCCTCCTTTTTAGGGACTGCAGACGTTGTTTAAAGTGTCTCTTTATTTAATGAGTAGCATTTCAGATTTACAATGGCGCGCTTTAAACTCCTATTTAAGTAAAAATGAGAAAAATGTCTTTGTTTTCCTGTCATAAAACTTGTTAAATTCTGACAATATTCGTCATATTTTCTGCAGCAAAATTTCGCACGTCATTTACGTAGAGAAACCACATTTAGAAATAATCAAATTTTTAAGTTAAAAACATGGATAACTTATTTATTCTTGATCATACAAAGATGTAAAGGGTACCGTTGAGAATCGGAGATGCCACTCATTAAATGGAGGTTAACCTAAAATAACGTCTTTAGTCGCTTTAATCCCTGTCTGTGTCCAGGTATCAAGAGTATATCTGCTGAACCAAGTGGGACCAAGATTGCCTTCTTGGATGCCAAGAACCAGGGATACATATATACTCCTGTTACAGGGGCAATCCTTCTTCTCAGAGAGGTCCCTTCAAGGTACGTTAAAACTTCCAGACTTAAGCAAAATAAATATTTTTTAACCCAGACGCAATGCGAGGCAAAATAAGTGTCTAATTAGAAATACTTTTTGTATTTTGTGTTATGTGGCCTGTAATGTGTAAACACATCTGAAAGTATGATTTTTTATGTACTTAGATATTTACTTTCTAGATGACATTTTTCCGTGTTTCTTAAACTGTCTTTTAATATGCTACGACTGTCTGTCTTAATAGCAATTTTCCTAAGCTATTGATGTCTTTTAAGAGCAATTTTCCTAAGCTATTGATGTCTTTAAGAGCAGTTTTCCTAAGCTATTGATGTCTTTAAGAGCAATTTTCCTAAGCTATTGATGTCTTTTAAGAGCAGTTTTCCTAAGCTATTGATGTCTTTTAATTGCAGTTTTCCTAAGCTATTGATGTCATTTAATAGCAGTTTCCCCAAGCTATTGATGTCTTTTAAGAGCAGTTTTCCTAAGCTATTGATGTCATTTAATAGCAGTTTTCCTAATTGGGCGTAAAATAAAAACTAGAAAAGCTTCAAGGTCACAAAATTGTTTTTTGTAATTTCGCATCGAGACCTCTTTCTTAAAATTTGACTCGTTACGCCTTGTTTTGTTTAGTACGAAGCTGATATTATGGGATCAGAGTCCGCTTGATAAAGATGTTTTGGTCGCATATGACGGGGAAGCTCTTCATACATTAATCCTGGACTTGGATAATGTTTCAGGATCAACCACTACATCCCTAGGTTAGTTTATACTTTCTTACATTTCTTCATACATTAATCCTGGACCTGGATAATGTTTCAGGATCAACCACTACATCCCTAGGTTAGTTTATACTTAACATTTCTTTACACATTACTTTATTGGTTTTTATTTCTTTAATCTTTAATCTTCATTTTTTCATTTCTTTATTTTTTGTTGTTAATTTTTATTCTTTCATTCATTTCTTCATTCGTCAATCGTCATCTTTCTCAGTTATTTATGTCTCAATATCTTGCTTTTTCGTATTTTCATTTTTATTTTCTTTACGCTCTCGATTAATTAGTTAGCAGTTCTTCACTTCATTCATTTCTGTATTTCTTAGATATCTTTATTCTATATTATTTGCTAGGTATGACCCGTGTCCCCCTGGGTCAGTATCCTGTTCTACTGTATAGTGGAGAGATGTCTTTACAGACACAGTCAGGGAAACTTGTCAAGCTAACACTCTCATCTCATGATATCAGGGAACTTGCAGTAAATAATATGTATGTCTAGATGGGATGGGATGGGATGGGATGGGATGGGATGGGAGGGATTGTAGGAAATGGAATGAGAGGGAAGGGAAGGAAATGGGATGGGATTTTAGGGAAGGAATTGGGATGACAGGAAGGGACAAGGAAGTAAATGAAGTAAATGAAAGGAACAATACTGAAGGAAGGTAATGGAAGTAACGAAATAGAGAAACGAAATGAAGGAATAAAATGGATAAAAGGAAATCTAAGGAAGGGAATCGGATGAAATGGGAGGAAATGAGATGAGAAGGGAAGAAATGGAAGAGAGGGAATCGAAGGAGATGGATTGGGAGGGAAAGCTATGATATGGTAGTTATGAGTATGATTGAGAAGGAAATGAATGATATTATAAACTGAAATGATGATATCAACTGCAATGTTGATGAAGTGGAAAGATAACTGAACTGAAAGCTGGAGACCTTAAAGATCTTCTGAATAAGAACCTGAAGCTGGGTAGATTAAACAATAGCTGGGCAATCTGTCAACTTCTAAACGATGACCAGGAATACTTATATTTATCATCATTAAAAAAAGAAACTGGGAAATCATTCCGAACCAAAATATATTTTTCTTAACAAAAGGACACCCTGCGACCTGCATGCTTCATTACAAGAAGCTTTGTTTTTATTTGTCAATTTTTTTCGTTAATTTTTACAAGGATTAAAACAATTACTCTCTCTCAAAGTTTTTCTAACAATTCCTTTATTGTGTATTTGTGTAATATGAAAGTATTAGGATTGGGATGTTCTTGCTCGAGTTGCTCTAGAGAAGCTTGAGGTTGATTTTGCGACCAGAGTGTACAGGCATATCAAGAATATATCCATGGTCTGGAGTCTAGAGGAACTTAAAGGTACCGAAAACAGAGAACTTAAAACATCCTTTACCTCCTCCCTCCACTTTGACTGTTTTAGGACTAGAGGACAAAAATCTACTCTCGGGACATATTTCTTTAATGCTAGGAGACTATGCACAGGCTCAGGTAGTTATTAGAAAAATCAAGATTTTTTTATAATTCTATTTGAGTAGTTTTATGTATAACTTAAATCACATGTTTTTTAGAACCTGTTTCTCCAGTCTAGCAGCCCTGTTGAAGCTTTGCACATGCGCAGAGATCTTCTGCAATGGGACCAGGCGCTTACTTTGGCGGACAGGTACGGTGTGCGGTTGTAACAGATTCAGTACTGTACAATGTAAATATGTACTGAACATTTGCTTGATGTAAATGTTGCTATTTGGTGTCCTTTGTTTATTAGTTGGTGAATGAGGATAGGGTTGACTGAAGTTAGTATGTGTATTTGTTAAATCATTTGTTAGGAACTATGGGTGAGGGGGACGACATCCCTAGGTTAGTTTATACTTTCTTACATTTCTTCATACATTAATCCTGGAACATTTAGTTGATAACGGTTTGGAAAGTTCACTTTTTGGTGGTTAAGGTTAACGTGGTTGTTATTGTTGCCTGTCTAGGTTGGCGCCAGGAGAAACACCTCTAATCAGTCGGGAGTATGGTCAGCAGCTAGAGTTTACAGGAGACTATCCTAGCTCATTAGCTCACTATGAGAGAGGACTACTACTCAAGGTATTAATAGTTTACGGGAGACTATCCTAGCTCATTAGCTCACTATGAGAGAGGACTGCTACTTAAGGTATTAATAGTTTACAGGAGACTATCCTAGCTCATTAGCTCACTATGAGAGAGGACTACTACTTAAGGTATTATTAGTTTACAGGAGAATATCCTAGCTCATTAGCTCACTATAAGAATGGACTGCTACTCAAGGTATTTTTAGTTTACAGGAGACTATCCTAGCTCATTAGCTCACTATGAGAGAGGACTACTACTCAAGGTATTTAATTTAAGAATATCCTAAAAAAGGGAATGTTGTCCTAAAGTCAATCAATCAAGTGACCCTTTATATCTAGTGTGGCATGTCCAATTCACTTTATCTCTTTAAAAACATCATTTATTTTGTGATTCTTTGCTAAAGTGACTTGCGCATATCAGAAACAGACACAATGATATAAAACGACGATATCTTCCACATTATTGAACAGTTTAAGGTTTAAAGTGCACAGAACACAGGATTGTCCCTTTTTAAATCTTCCGTCATTGGAAATAATTACTTAATTACTTAATTACCTAATTACTTAATTACTAATTACTTAATTACTTAATTACTTTTATATCTTTGAATAAAAATAATATGAAATTCAGAATTTAGAGGAAAATAAGGCATGCAATTTGACCGGTGATAACATTTAATAAAAAGGAGATAAGTAGTTGAACTACGTAGACTAAGTTGAACCACTTCTAAACTTTAATTTAACCTTAACTGGTTTAACCACGTTTACGGAATTCTGGATAAAACGTTCATGATAAATGTCGTCTTCTAGAGTAAGGGAGGCGATGAGGGGGAGGAGCTAGAAGAGCACAAAGCCGCCTGTAGAGCTGGTATTGCCAGGTGAGATATAGAATATTAATTGAGTGATTGATCCATCTTCGGGACTGAGTCCTACTGACTATATACTTTTAGTTATAGTATTATTAAAAAGATTGATCATAATTATTCCATTTTTAAGTCATTAGAACTGTGAGTAATCAAATCCAAATTTCAGTATTTTTTATATGGTGGATAAGATAAGATAAGGGAGGATCTGAAGACCCCAGACCGCCATCGGGACTAACTCCCATAAATATCTTACAATTTTACTTCCATTTGTTTTATCAAGGATGGCTTTACGATGCGGAGATGTTAGAAAAGGGTTGACAATGTGTCAGGAGGCTAAATCTCGACAGCTTAATAGGTAGATTCAATATTTATACTCACACCCCCATACTGACAGCAGGAAAATTCATGCTGACAGTTTCATACTGACAGCAGGAAGATTCATGCTGACAGTTTCACATTGACAGCTTAGCATATAGATTCATGCTGACAGTTCCATATTGACAGCTTAACATATAGATTCATGCTGACAGTTCCATATTGACAGCATAACATATTGATTCATGCTTACAGTTCCATACTGACAGCAGGAAGATTCATGCTGGCAGTTCCATATTTACAGCTTAATATAAATATTATATATTCATGGTGACAGGTCTGTATTGACAGCTTTGTAGAAATATGATATGATATGACAGAGATAATTGTTTCCTAGTTGGCTCCCCCTTCTAATAAACCCCCATTTTACTTTTATTTTCTAATTTTGCAGGGAGTGTGCTGAGATACTGGAGAGTATGAAACAGTTGGGAGAAGCTGCTCAATTATATGAATCCTCTCAATATTATGATAAGGTAATCCCTCCCTATCCTTCCTATCCTCCCTATCCTGGTTATTTTTATGAATCCTCTCAATACTATGATAAGGTAATCCCTCCCTATCCTTCCTGTCCTCCCTATCCTGCTTATTTTTATGAATCCTCTCAATATTATGATAAGGTAATCACTCGGTTTCCTTCCTATTCTACTCAGTTATAGGAATTCTCTTCATACTATGATAAGGTAATCCCTCCCTATCCTCAGTTATATGAATCCTCTCAATACTATGATATGGTAATCTCTCCTTATCCTCAGTTATATGAATCCTCTCAATACTATCTTAAGGTAATCCACCCTAATCCACTCAGTTATATGAGTTCTCTTCATACTATATGACAAGGAAATCCCTCCCTAACCTTCTTATCCTCAGTTATATGAATCCTCTCAATACCATGATAAAGGAATCCCGCCCTACCCTCTCCATATTCTATTTAGTCTGCTGAACACCTTCTTTCTATCTTACTTCTTAAAGAGTGTTTCAACGCAAACAATTTAGGTTTCCGGTGATGTAGTTTCCATAATATCGATGTAAAATTCTAGTTTTTTGGTTGAAAACGACAAAAAAAGTTGGTTCTTGTTGAGTCTTGGCTATATTTGCCTCACTCTCCTCATGTTGTACTCTCTTTTCAATTCATGTTAATTTTTATAAAGTTATATCACAATTTATAAATCTTAAATTTTTTTAATTCTTTGAATTTTGAAAGCCTCCAACTTGTAAACATGGTAGCGTACTGGAACTTGTTAAAAACTATGTTATAACAATAAAAAGGTCAAGGTTAAAAAAATGTTCAGTGAGGACTTAAACCTCCGATCTGAAACTTGGAATCTAATCTGATTGGAAATCCCCACGTTATTATCTGATTTGATAAATTACTATTAAAATTCTCAATGTACTGTACAGTTTTCATGTAACTAGGCTGCCCACCTGTACATAAAGATGAAGAACTGGACCAAGATTGGACAGATCCTGCCCAACATATCCTCGTCTAAGATCCAGCAGCAGTTTGCCAGGGCCAAGGAAGCTGATGGGAAGTATAAAGAGGCTGTTGTAGCATACGAGGCCGCCAGGTAAAACTGAAGTATTAAGTTGAATGTAATTAAGGAGTCGTAAGCCCAATTCACAACAGTACCCTTACTATCACAGATTACTCTTCTAACTGAGCAACAATGAGGTAGCTATCGTAGATCTTCTTTATCTGGTTGATTTTAGAGTCCCAATTTCATCCTGGTACATTTTCTGTCTTCTTTGTTAGTCCTAAGTTCAAAAGATTCCAGATGAAATTCAGCGGCAGTTCGGATCGTATATTGCATGAACAATATACGATATATGATTAACTTTTAACTGCAGGGATTATGATAGCGCTGTGCGTCTACTGCTGGATAAACTCAATGATCCTGAGAATGCTGTTAGAATTGTCAAGCAAACTAAAAGGTAAATTAACTTACTGTAAATATTATTATGATTTTCATCAATATTTTAGTATGTTATTTGGATTTTTTGTTTAGTACTGAGGGAGCAAAGATGGTTGCCAAGTTTTTCCAGAAATTAAACGATTTTTCCTCCGCCATTCAGTTCCTTGTCCTAAGTAGATGTGTAGATGAAGCTTTCCAGGTAAAGCTTACAAACATACCCCCCACGCACCTTCCACTTTCAATAAATTTTAAAACTTGTTTTAAATTGCATAAAGATTAATATTTTATTAATTTAGTTAGCTCAGCAAAACGCAAAGATGGATCTGTTTGCTGATATTGTTGGAGACGGAGCTTCGCCAGAGGATTATCACAGGTCTTTCTCAATTTTTTTCTTCAAAACTTTGACCTTTCCTCAAATTTTTCATTAAAAATAATAATGTTGTCCAAATGATCAGAAAAAGGTCTCATATAAACAGATTGATAAAAAATAACTTAATAAAATCTTGCAGCAAAACAATCATTAAATTCCGAACCTGATAAGAATATTTTTTCGGCAAATTTTTGTTGTTACTTGAAAAGTTTTACGTTATCTCATAAATTGAACTGGTATGATTGGAAATTGTTTGGAAACGGCCAGGTTGTGTGAACTATTTTGGTTTCAGTATTGCTGTGTACTTTGAAGGAGAAAGAAACCATCTTCAGTCTGGAAGATTCTACTACAGAGCAGGCGAACATTCTAAGGTCAGTTGGGAGTGGAACGGGTAGATAACGATTTGAATTTACAGTGGTTTGTCTATGGTTGGAGGGTTAGTCCGTGATTTGGTTGGGTAAAATTATATGACATATTTTTCCAATAAAAAACTAGGACCACTCTTCATTTGGCTCTTGAATCTCCGATTTGTTTGTTTGAGCTTAAAGCAATCCCTAATACAGTACAAAATAATAATTGATTTGGTTAGTTAGGGTAGTAGGAACTAGAGATGGGTGAAAAGGGTGTTCAGATGAAGATTAAAAAAAACTATTTAGGCCGCGGTTTAAATAATTTAGGAAACATTAGTCTCAAGACTAGACTACAAATGAGACAAACAAGGCTCACTTTCACAAAACTCACCAAGGCCGGGACTAATTTTGAACTTTAATTATTAGAACTATAGAGAGTTCAAAGTCCAGACTAAACATTTAAATCGCGGCCTCATGGAATTTTAGAAGATGAAGGTTGTTTGGAAGGATTGGTTTGTGGTTAATGGTTAATAGGTTAGAACAATAATCGTTGTTTAAAGGAAATATATGGGTGAATTCAGTATTGAAGGATGAGACATAACAGGACGGAAAAGAAGCTTTAGCAATTAGCATGCATTTTTCTTAGAATTCCAATTTAATTAGGAAAGTTACTTTTGAGGAATATCAGCTGAAATTGTATGTGAAAATCTGAAACCTTTTTTAGGCGTTACGTCATCTTCTGAAAGTTGCTGCATCTACTAATGATGACTCGGAGGCGTTAAATCTCGCTATAGAGGTGGTTGGGAGCTCAGGACAAGCTCATCTAGCTCGTCAGCTCATTGAGTTCCTCATGGGAGAAACAGATGGAGTACCCAAAGATGCTAAAGTAAGTTAAAAATTCATATACTTGTTAGTTATCAAAAATGCCAATGTAATATTTTTGGTGTTTAAAAATCATAAGTTATAAATTACATAGAAAGAAATTTCATTAATTTTCAATTTCTGATCTGGTTGTAAATGATGCGTTTCTTTCTCCTTTAAAAAGATATAATACAGCAAGTGTGCAGTGTACACAGACCCCATTTTACTTTGTGAATGAATTTTAAAGCAACTGTCTATTTGCTTTATTAATACGCATAAAACTGATCATATGTTGCTCACTGTATCTTTGTACATTTGTACTTTTTTGCAGTACCTGTTTCGGTTGTACATGGCTCGCAAACAGTACAAGGAAGCTGCTAAGACCGCTGTTATTATTGCACGCGAAGAACAGAGCGCGGGAAACTACAGAAATGCGCACGATGTACTCTTCAATATGTACCAGGTACAAATATATTACTTGATTAATGTACAGATTACTGATCATTTTTACTGTTCCTTATGTTTTTACTACCAATATTATAGCTAAATATAAAACTTTTGAGAGTAATAAGTTGTAAATTGTCATGTCTATTCATAAATGAAGAGATCAAGCATTGAAAAGTTAAAAGTGCAGCAGTTTTGAGATCAAACCCAAAAGTTTCCAGCTCTGTTAAATTATTATTATTGCGTCAAAAGTTAAGATTTGATTTAAAAACTAGGAGCTTGTTAAGAACAGGATCTCAGTTCCATGGGAGATGGCAAATAATCTGATGATTCTTCACAGCTACACCTTGGCCCGTCTACATGTCAGGTACTAGTTCATATTTACCTCAGCTGGACCTTAATTCTTCACAGCTACACCTTGGCCACTAGGCGTGGGAAGCATCTGCGTGGTGCACGAATATTTTGTATATCTATGCGTGGGAACCATCTGCGTGGTGCACGAATATTTTGTATATCTAGGCGTGGGAACCATCTGCGTGGTGCACGAATATTTTGTATATCTAGGCGTGGGAACCATCTGCGTGGTGCACGAATTTTTTTAATATCTAGGCGTGGGGACCATCTGCGTGGTGCACGAATGCTTCTACGTGTTGCAAACAACATCAGTAAATTCCCTGCGCACGCTGTTCCTATTCTTACCTCAACTGTCATTGAATGTCACAGGTAACGTATTTACCCTAAACCTTTAAAATATTAAGTTGAGCTTAATTCCGTATTTCTCTGAGGCTTAAACTTATGGTTGTACAAATATCTTTTGATGGGTTGTATTCAAATAATTTGCAAAAATTTCTTTGCAAAACTTGTGCAATCAAATTCCTTATGTCAAAGGCTTCCCAAAAAGCTAGAAATTATGCAAATCTGACAACTGAAATTAAGAAATTGGGTCAAAACAAAGATTTATTTTTCTATAGGAAAAAGTAGTCATTCAGGCAGTTAGTATAAGACCCTCGTTATTGGCCTAATTGAAGGACTTTGGGTATGTAGGAAAAGTCAGAAAATTTTAACAGCCTCAGATTAATACTTTTTGATTTATGATTTAGGAATTTGCAGGGTCCATGTCAGAGTCCTTGACAGATTTGTTTCTTATTGCTTAACATGCTTAAAGAAATGATGGACGGAGAGGGATAACGTGTTCAAAGAATTAAATTAAACCAACCAGGGGAATAGAACCAACAAAGCAAGTTTTTTACAACAATTTTGACCTCAGCTCTACTAATTTTTTTCTATTTTTCTATTTCTCAGTTTTTCTGTAACAGAGAAGAGAAATAGTTATTGGAGAAAACTCTGTCTGCTTGTTTAAATCTCTAATTAACAGTGACCCTTTTCCTTGAAACTTATTTTGCGAAGAGAAAATTATTGTTTGATTATACTTGTGATGACTGTTTTTGAGAAGTACTCCACAGATGAGAAATATTTTCATAAATTCCCAGGAATGAAATGAAATAAAAAATGTGTTTGTCTACTGTCTAGATCGGGTTTGAAGAATTCTGCCTTCACTTACGCTGCTGTGCTCATGAGACCAGAGTATAGGAAGGATATTGATGAAAAATACAGGTAGAAAGGTCTTAATTAAATAAATAGAGGGATGAAAAATAAATATGTGGAAGAATGAAAAGAAAAATTTGGACGTAAATAAATACCTTTCCCAGAAATACTTGTCTCCCACCTCTGAATTTACACCCAGCTCATAATTGGGTTGATTCATTGGAACTCAAACGGAGGGAGCTCAAGCCTACAACCGGGATTGAAGGTTTGACAGCGATTATTATTATTATTATTATGACAGCCCTCTCCCATAATTCTCCATGACCCCTCTTTTAATTGTTTTTCGTAATATTTCTAAGTTCGTTCTTTTGTTTTTATGTCTTCAGTTATTTTGCTGCAATCGTAAGAAATAAAAATTAACTTTTTTCCCTGAACCGTTTTTTTGCGGCATGCAAATTATTTTAACTTTATCAAAACTTGTCCTTATTTTTTCTCCGTTAAGTGTATTTGCTATTGTATTCATAGTGTTCCTTAAGATTATAATAGATGTCATATTTTAGCAATGATGTTCCTGAAAGTGAGCTGTACTGTTCCCAATGTAAGAACAATCTACCCTACTGTATAGCTACAGGGTTCCATATTCTCCAGAATGATCTGAGTTCCTGTCCACTCTGCAAGTTCCCAGCTACAAGGTGATGTATTGTTTAATCATTTCATCAGATACTTTATTGATAAACAATTAATAGTTAAAAGAACAAGGTGCATTAAATTCAATTTATAATACATCAGGAGGATAAGAGTTGCAAATTGCAAATTACAAAAAAGTTTACATAAATAACATTATTTTACTCATTGCCCAGTTTTTTCTGATCATAATATGTACGAATTAAGCAATAATAATGATGAAAAATAAATAAAAAACAATAAAGTTCCCAAATATAATGTGTAATCATTTATTGATATAAAATATAAAAATGAATCATTTAAAGAACAAGACCCATTGAATTAAATTTGAATTTATCCAAACACGAAAAGGATAAAAAAAAATTGGAAATAAATTTTTTTAACCAGTTTTCAGTTGTCTCTGAACGTTTGTACTGCTCATCAAATGTAGAATTAAGCCAAAAAGAAAATTGGTGTTTATACAGTTGTCGGCATTTATATCAATATAATATACTTTTTTCTTCAAATTTTGATTGTTGAAAGCTTTTTTTGAAGTAAACAACGAGAAGCTGGTATTTAATAGTTTTAATTTTTTCATGTTTATGTGTATCCATGCTGCTTAAAAGCTTGTTAGAAATCAAAATTGAAATCGAAAGTCGTCTTCATAGTTTTGATATATACGTCTATGTTTCTAGATCTGAGTTGTTGAAGCTGGTTGAGGATGGTGTTGTATGTCCCATGTGTGTAGAAACTATTGCTGTCAGTGATATCAAGTAAACATTTTTATTGTTTTAATCAGATTTAATGTAATAACATTTTTATTGTTTTATTTAGATTTAATATAATAACATTTTTATTGTTTTAATCAGATTTAATATAATAACATTTTTATTGTTTTAATCAGATTTAATATAATAACATTTTCATTGTTTTAATCAGATTTAATATAATAACATTTTCATTGTTTTAATCAGATTTAATATAATAACATTTTTATTATTTTAATCAGATTTAATATAATAACATTTTTATTGTTTTAATCAGATTTAATATAATACCATTTTTATTGTTTTAATCAGATTTAATATAATAACATTTTTACTATTTTAATCAGATTTAATATAATAACATTTTTACTATTTTAATCAGATTTAATATAATAACATTTTTATTATTTTAATCAGATTTAATATAATAACATTTTTATTGTTTTAATCAGAGTTAATATAGTAACATTTTTACTTTTTTAGTCAGATTTAATATAATAACATTTTTATAATTTTAATCAGATTTAATATATTAACATTTTTATTGTTTTAATCAGATTTAATATAATAACATTTTCAAAGATTTTCTATTTAACTCTATTCTTAACGCTATCCTTTTTGTAAGTAACAGGATTAATCTTTAAATTGTGTTTAATTCTGCAAATTCCTTCATTCTCTCCGCATAAATCCGCAAGTATCTTTCACTGGAACACAATGCAACTTGAAATGATTTTTTAGCTGGACATATTGATCAGACGAATGTTGAAAAGGTTGAGACACGAACATGTCCCTCTTTAGTCGGAAGGAAACATGAAATTACGTGTAAAATCCCTTTGATCTTTATCATCATGTTTAACTGTGTCAGGTCTATAGCTAATGCATTTAGAGGAATTCACAGAGTAAGATTTCCTATTCACAACGTTACTCATCAACCTTTTATCTGAGTAACAATGAGTAAGATTTATCTTTTTCTATCTTGAAGTGTTGAATGCAATTTCATTTAGCTCTGCATGCACATTGCACATGCACTTAAATATACGTTTGATTTTGTCAGGTCTATTGCTCCTGGACAGATAGTTCGAGGTGGATCCGAGAGAGAGGAAACCCAGCAACAAGATGAGGTAATGAAAGTAAGGATTACGCAAATGTCGTCTTTAAATAACAGCCCGATCCAGGTGTAACCATGCTGTACAAAATGGATTTGTTTGAGGGATGGACTTCTGTCACCCGTAGATGTTGCAGGCACGTCATAATATATAAATAACATTGTAATAGGTTTTTGTTAGTAACTACATACCTTTCGCAGAGATGGAGTTGTGAGAGTGAGATTGGGAGTGAGAACGAGAGTGAGGGAGTGTAATTGAAAGTGGGAATGAAAAAGTGTGAGTGGGAGGGAGAGAGCGGGAGTGAGAGTGAAAATTGGAGTAAGAGTAGGCCTGTGCTTGGAACGGGGTAATGTTGAACAGGAAATAATAAAATCATTACTTAATATCGGATATTTAGGATAATGATGATGAGGAGGATATGGGACGTATTCTCTCCGGGTCATCTTCCACCACACTCTCCTCTAGAGGTTCTATATCAACCTCTATCAAGTAAAAGAACAAGGATGTCAAGGCTCGAGGCATCTATTTATAAAACTAATGAAGCAGTAATCTCTGTGTCTCCGATCATAACTCTTAAACCACTTGATCGACTTGCCTCAAATTTTGGTTGGGGAACTCGGAAAGGTTCTTTGTTTGGTTTTAGAAATTCTAGACTGAGATGGTTCAGTTTAGTTTCCAGGCAAAGCTGGGTTCCCAGGCTATGACTTAAATATTATTTAACGCACACTAAACTTAAAGATTATTTAAGGTCCTACAGCTTATGCCTAGCTAAATTACTTTACATTGAACTAAATTTATTAAATTCTACATTTATAAATTCGTTTCGTGAATAATCTGAACTATGATTTTTTTTAATTAAGACTCTTTTTATTTGAACCATGCCTATATCAGCATATTTTACTCTTATTACAACACATTTTTAAACGTCGATCTCAATTATTATTTATTTTTTTCAGTTTGTTCAAATTTATTTGACGGCATAAACCTTCTCACAAAAGTGATCGGCAGCCTTTCTTATTCAAGTTTAATGTTTAAGTCTCTTTTTCATCCGTTGTTTGATAAATCTCAGTCAGTATCATTTAAAAACATTTTGATCTCATTCTTTAGTCCATGATTTTTATTTTTACTGTTCTTAATATATTTTTATCATGTTTTGTTATAAACCAGCTAATAAGGTTCCTGGCTCTCATATAAACCAAAGATATGTTATTATTGTAACCTGCACATCACTGTGATATTTATCTACACAAAAACCGTCCACCTGAGCACTTGTCTCTTTCTATTCTGTGATTTCAAACAAATTGTATATGTTATGTGATTTGACCCAGACTATTCGTTTTGAGATAAAAGTTTTCAATTTTTGTAAGAGAAAGAACTTCTGCTGCGTAGTTCAATGGCCGAATATAAAGAATTTGAGCGGCGGTTTAAATTTAAGCCGCGGCTTAAATATGGTTGGTTTCACTTAAAATAATATCAAATGTTTCAAGATGTAAGCCGGCGCTATATTTAAACCGGGTTTTGGCGGATTTAAACCGCGGCTCAAATTCTTTAAATTCCATCTCAGGACTACCGAGTTTTCTGAATGAAAAAAAAATAATTTTTTTTCTGGAAATAAAGCATTTTAAATTCCTTTGAAGGCGACATAACATGGACTTAGAACCAGAAAACTCTAGAATTCGAAGACTACATTAAATCATTAATGAAGTGTACAACGCAAATATTGGTCTCGATTGTTGTCTCATGTTCATTGGCATAAATAAATAAATAAATAAAAGATCAACCATCATTCTGTGGAAATCAAGGCCTAAACATAAGTCTAAAAGTCTTTTTTTCTATTCCAGAGTTTTATGGAGCTTACTGTATATTGGATAATATAATATACTGTATGTTCTGTGATTTGACCCAAACTAGTCGTTTTGTGATCAAAATTTGCACAACCGTACACTTGTGTTCTTGTATATTTATTTTATTATGAAGATTATCAAACTTTGTAAAACGTTACCAAGCAAATATATTTATGACACCAAATATCGATATTTGAGTTAATTGTATGTTCGGCAATTTTAAGAGTTTATTGACGAAAGCTGGGTTATTTTTATTGTCAAATAAGAGTATTCTCCTGAGTTTTTAAAATCTCATTCGAATTCGATAACAAATAGAAGTTTGCGAAATTAACGGAAATATTAATTTAAACCAGTATAAATTTAAATGTGACCCGCTTCCAATTAACATGGGAGACGAGTGCATGAATCATTTAAAAACGTCTATAGATCAACATAGCTATTTCAGAAATCGTTAGTGGAAATGGCTTCTTTTTCAGAAATCGGAAGTGGTAAAGCCGTTAACGATTTTTAAAGGAAAAGTATGTAAAAAAAGTACATATATAAAAAACTAATAAAATAACTACACATTCGTTATTTTACTAATATCAATATTAGGCGAGATTTTTTAGGTACAAAATTTCTGAAAATATGAACAAATTTATAAAGAAGAGACATAAATATCACGCGCGAAGCGCATTTTTATTTTTTTTTCTAAAATTAATTAAATATTTGACGAGTAACGAGATAATTATTTACAATATACATATGTCCGCGGTAACATACTAAATTTTTAGTCTGTAATAGTATATTTTTGGTCGTTTTTTAAGGCCTTTAAAGTGTGATTTTAAAAAATCCAGCCGCGTCACTCAAAAAAGCAAACTCAAACCATTTTTTCAATTCTACTTAAGATTAATATTTTGTGTGTTGAATTCTTAAACTGCTTTGCACTGAAATTTTTGACAAATTTGACTGAGTATTGCATCTTGAAATATCACAAAGTTGGTTAATGAGTGATTTTAAGATGGATTTAGTATAATGAGTCAGTAATTAAACAATCATTAGACTTTGTGATATTTTAAGATGAATTACGTCTCAGTCAAATTTGTCAAAAATTTCATTGTAAAACATGTTTAAAAATTCAACACACAAAATATTAATCTTAAGTAGAATTGTAAAAATGGGTTGAGTTTGCTTTTTTTGCGAGACTTTGCTGGACTTTTTAAAATCACACTTTAAAGGCCCTAAATATACAATTTAAAAAAGTACTTTTGCCCGGAAGAGTCAAATGTAGTGGTACGGAAGAGGAAATAGTGGTGGCTCATGGCTGCCGGAAGAGAAAAAAGCTAATATGTGGCACGGAAGGGGAAATAGTGGTGGCTCATGGCCGCCTGCCTTCCCTCGCTCACAGGGCATAAGGGGCCGAGTGCTGGAGCAGTTACATATTTATCACATTAACAAAGTGATAGCCATGGGTGGGTTAATTAGGAATTAAGATGCATTTTCTAGGCCGAGTGCTGTGGCTCGGACATGACTATAAGGGGCCACGCGCTACGGCCAGTACCAATAGGCCAGGGGGCCACGCGCTGGGGCTGCCGGCCAGACTTGAGAGGGGGGTCGAGCACTGCGGCTTGGGGGCCGAGCGCTGCAGCCACATTTAACAAATTTGCTTAATGATATCTAATATGTGCGTGTGGCTAGGTAAGGCTACGAAAATTTTTCTTAGCTGCAGATAGGGGACCGAGCAACATGCGGCATGAGTTCAATTGAGCATTCAAAAAGCAACTGGACGAATTGAACAAACATAAAAATGGAAACTTTATAAAAGTGCTGTCATGATTTACAGACTCTTTAAATGTTTACTTCACTCAGCTCTTAAGCAGTGGGGGCAGAATTCCCCTTGAATTTATTCCCCAGATGTTTCTGAATTTATGATCACCCCTTCCCCCCAGAACTCCTGTGCCTCCTCCCTTCTTATTTAACCCTCTCGGCGTTCTTATATGGCCTCGATTATCTAATATTTTTTTCTCCATATAGTCTTTTTAAAATCTTCAAGTTCAATGTTTACATTTTTATTTTAAAGTCGTCAGTGTAAAAACACAGGGCCAATATTTTTTAATAACATTTTTTAAATATTTTATCTCGAATATCTGATGGATAATTTCAATTAAATTTTAAATATTATTTCTTTTTAAGTAAAGTAGCACCCCTGTTTATCAAGAAAAACCGGTTTTTGATTCTTCTACCTCCTCCGCGGGTCATTTAAATTTAAAACTTGGAAGCAAAGCTCAACTTTCCGCCAAAATTTTAGAATTCAGAAATGCGCTGCGCAGATAGCTGCGGTGGAAACTAAAAATTTGTTGCTTGTATGTTTTATTAATTCAATACATAATAATGAAAGTGTTCAGTCTTTTATGAATGCAAATGATGTTTCAGGTTTTATTTTTGTGACCATGAATAATTTTAACTAAAATGGACTCGGAGATTTTGAAGCCGACAGCGGAGCCTGCTCTGAGTGCACTCGATGACACTGTTGTAGAACAAGAAGCTGATCTAGGAACCAAACTGGGAGCTAGATCGAAAACTGGAGTACTAGGAAGAGTAAATGGAGCTAACGGCGGGTGCAGTATGGATCGTAACGGATACGGATCAAAGGAAAGATTTCGTCTGAAGTCTCTCTCAGACAGTGATTGCATGTCTTCTCCAGGTAAATAACCTGTTAATTTTCGAGCCTGGGATCTGGGTTTAAGTTAGTTTTGTTAAACTATGTCTGACCCCACCCCTTCCAATCAATTATTTCCTGGTAAAATCCTACAACGTTAATAAATCATAGTTTGGGTCTGTCCTAGTATACGATATAAATTTTCTTTGTATGTCTTACAATTATTCTTCAACCCCTGACACTCGTATTTATTATTTAAGGGTATTTTTACCAGTGCTAAATTGTCCTCGACATTGTATTATTAGACATTTGTTTATTAGCGTACTAAAAAGTAGAGTATTTATTAATTATTTCTGTTTATATTGAATGATTATTTACGTAGGATCCTGTAGTCCTGATATTTTCTCACCCCCGACCCTCGCCAGATGTGTTACAGACTCACCCTCACATTATTTTCTTCGGGGGAACCATAGATGGGTCAGCACACCACTACTCAAGGTAGGAACCATAGATGGGTCAGCACACCACTACTCAAGGTAGGAACCATAGATGGATCAGCACACCACTACTCAAGGTAGGAACCATAGATGGGTCAGCACACCTCTGCTCAAGGTAGGAACCATAGATAGATCAGCACACCACTACTCAAGGATTTTTTTGTTTTAACATAAAAAAGTATGGATATTCATGTTGTAAACATTTTTGTAGTTTTTGGCCACTTTGTTCCATAGATGTTAGGTTATTTTTTCAGGGCTTTATTCGCTGAATTGGGGGAAATAAATATTTTTTCGCGTAAAATTAAATGAATTTTGGGTAAAAAAATAAATAAGAAGAAATTTTCCTTTTGACGTGCAATTTTTATTTTTGCCCCAAGCATCAAAAATCGAAAAAAACCAGCCTTGGACTTAATTTTGTAAGCATTTTTTATACTTTTTCTACATTTTTCTAGGACTCTGGTTTGACCCGGAGTAGCTCTTTTCAACCTGGACGGGGTGGAGAAATGTATTCTGCTTTGGGCCCAGCTAAAGCTATGAGCACACCTCTCACTACTACAGGAATAAAATTCATTTAAGAAAGATTTATACTGGAATATCCTAATTTTTTAATCTTAATTACTTAAAGACAATAATGATAGTATTTTTGTAAATTTATAGCCTCTTGACCCTATAATGGAGACATGAGCTAATTTAAATTAAAATAATTGCTTATTTTAATATATTTGAAGTTTAGTATTTTTTTAAAAGGATTTTTTAGCATTTTCACCTTTTCGAGGTTAAAATCATTAAATGAATTTGATTGTGAAGGCTCTAGCATTGAAATCTCTGGTCCAGGTTCAAATCTAGATTTTAATTCTCCGGATTCCGCGGAAATTCTTACTCCAGTATCCGGGGTAGAGATATCTCACATCTCCAGATCTATTGGACGTCCTCACACTCCAGAGAAGCAGGTACAACTCTCTCAGATCGATTAGAGAAAAATCGTTTAAGCTAATTTCCAATTTACATTTTTTGTTTCCTTTACTTTAGACAAAGGTTTAGACTGGGTCCCCTTGAAATATTATTTTCCAACCCCACCCCTGACTGTGGTCGCAATCATTCTCCCTCGTTCAGAGATTCACAACGTTACCCTTAAAATGCGGGAAATAATGTCTGTTTTCTAGCTTGTTAAGTGTAGTAATTCTTACCTCTTATTCCGTTTTTATAGCAGACATCTGATAAAAAATCTTCATGCTAAGTTTAAGACTTGGGTATTTATAACTCATTTATTCTAAGCATGCAAAGCGGTAAATGGTATCGTTATGAATTTGACATACAATTGATAAATTCATGATACTAAGATAGTTGTAAATTATATAAAAACTAGCTAAAGGGTCCGGCGTTGCCCGTGAAAAAAATTTGATGGGGAAAAAATCAAAAAAAAATATCAATTTTTTTGCGTATAACACCCCCCGGCCACCCATGAGTGTCCACAATAAAATTCAACTCATTTGGTCCAGTCGTTTGGCTGGCTAAAGGCAACATATATGAATGTTCTGTTTTATTTTATTAAATGGCAATTATTGAATAAATAGATTAGTTATTTGAACGTTTCTTTTCAGTCTCAGCTGATTTTTTTCAAATGATATGATTCGGGGATTGTCAGGAATTTAATCATTCAGTATCTGTTGATCTGTTTGTAGTCCTATGTCCTAATTTAATTTATTTAAGCCGCGTCTTAAATCCCCCAAAAACCGGTTTCAATTGAGCGCCCGCTTAAATATCTAAAAATTTTATACAATTTTAAGTGGAACCAATCATATTTAAGCCGCGGCTTGAATTTAAACCGCGACTCAAATTCTTTAAATTCGGTCTCTAATTACATTTTTCAGGGGATTACTCCTTTGAGTGGAGAAGAGTTTATGAAGCGTGTAGAAACCCATGAAGATACCAATCAGGATACAGATTCAGGTTTGTTGGTTTATATTTAATAAAATTGTTGTTTTTATGTAAGAAAGGTTACAATTTATATTAAATCTTTACAAAAAGAAAATTGAAATTTGTATAATTATTGTATAATTGGGTTTTTGTTTGAACAAAGCGCACAAACCTTGCATTACCACTGCCCGAAGTCATGGACTTTAAAAAATACTACCTTGTGGTTATTGACATCATAGAGAAAATATTTAAATGAGAAAATGGGGCACTTTTAAAAATTGAAACGTTGCCTGACAACGAGAATCATATGAAATTATTTAATTGAAAATGTTTTAGATTCCTAAAGAAAGTCTAGAATAGTTCATCAGTTATAAAATAAAAATAAAAACCATTGCAGCAAAATCATGTTATCTATTAGGTATCGGAAGCCTTCTGAATGATACCACCGGTGAAAAGGATGATACCGCCGAACCTCCTGCTCCGGTCCTCCGTCGGTCTCCCCGCCAGCTCACCGTCCTCAACCGCCTTGACCGTTGCTCCAGACAGAAAATCCCCGAATTTGTAAAAAGCAGTAAGTACCTGACCCCACCCGGATGCTACCTGGGCGCCAACAAGCTTGATATTATACAGCTGTTATCTGACCGCGACCTTTGGCATGTACTAGAGCTGATATTTACACATATCCCGGCCGCAGATCTCTCCGCAGTAGTGCTGGTCAACAGCTGCTGGCGGAGAACCCTGGAGGCTCGGGTTCGGCATGATCTCCGGAGATCTAAAGAATGGTTTAAACCCCAAACATTTATTCATCAGAAAAAATCTTTCCGCATAAATATTTGTGTAATTTTTGTGTAAAAAAAAAGCGAAAAGCATTGAAGTGGAAAGAAAACTTTTGTTTTAAGTCTTATTTTTAATTTTTCTATAATGAGGGGAGTACTAAACATATATACCCCGGGCAAAATTTAGAAGACGTTTTTTTCAAACGACCTTTCAAAGTTGGATTTTATTGTAAAAATAATAACAATTTCAACCAGATTTTTTTATTTATTTTGATTGATGAAAAATATTGCAGGAGGTGAACAGAAACCTATCTCCTGGAACTCGGAGGAACAGAACTGAGAGTACGAGTTTAAACCTAGTCACATCTCCCAGCAAGAAGTTCAGAAATAGGTCAGTTCAATTTTCAGAGGTAGAGATTTTACAAAACGCTCCAACTTTGTGTTTGAATCATTTATTACGTTTAAGAGATCATAAAACTTTTTTGTATTTTCTGTTGTGAAGGGGGGCCGCGGCCGAGGGGGAGGGAAAGATAAAATTTAGTTTTTACTGGACATTTTTTTTCTAAAGAAACGTTTGTTTCGTTACTAACGCATGCAAGTGATATAGTCAATATATTTTCCGGGTTTTGGTCAAAAAAAAATCCAAAAAATTAATTTTCCGTATCTTAAACTAATTGTCTAATTATAACTTTAGATTGTTCTCTGAGCTGAATAACCCTGGTTCTGCTCCTCCTGTTGGGGACCCTGTAGAAGATCCTCTACCTAAATTTATTCACTGCCCCAACTGCTCTTCCACTAGTCTTGTCTCACAAACCAAGGTACGAAAAAATTTTAGAAATTATAATTTAACATACGATGCATAATTTTTAAGTTATAACATTTGTGAAATACTCGGAGTTTAATTTAATCTATATATAAATTCTGTCTGTCTGTTTGTTCGTTTGTTTGTATCCAAAATAAACGTCAAAACGGCTGAACAAATCGGCCCCTTTTGCCTGGGACCTCACGCGACCCCAGGGAAGGTTTATAAATGATCAAAAGTTTCAAGAATTAGTGTTATATTTTTTTTTAATTTTGAAAATTCCCGAAAAAATATTAAATCCGCAAACTTTTTTTATATACTGTACAAAGAGAAGATGCTCACAGATAAAGCCTAAAAGCCTAGTTAGTTAAATAATAAAATATCTGTTTAGTTAACACTCTAAAACACCTTGCATAAATATTTTATACTATTGTTCGTCTATGAAATAGCAAGGGCAGTTTTTAAAAGTTATGGGCGTTTTTTGGGGTGGGGGTAGAAGGGGCGATTAACTATTTGAAAAACATTTGTTCTTGTGAAAAGAAATTGACAGTTAAAAAAGTTTCTTGGACATTTTCTTTTCTAATTTTTTGTTAGTTTTGCTTTTAGTCATTTATTGTATATATTTAGCATGAACCTCCTGGTGGAGGGTTGGAGGAGGAGGACCGTGCCACCTGCAGCTCCAGGTCATGTGGTCTAGTGTTCTGTGTGAGATGCCTGTTCTCTGAGCATCCTGGAGCAACCTGCCGGTTTATCAAACCCTTTCATAAACCGGCGGCCGTCGTGACTAGCAAGAAGTCTAAAGCAAGACTTCGTCGACTTTAGTTTTGATTTTATCTGTTTGTCGAGGTTTAACTTTGAGGAAAGTATTCTGCAAACAGTGATAAATTTATTGTTGACTTTCACATTTAGTGATGGCAGGGGAGGATTAGGGTGTCTCAAAAAAACAACAAATTAGGAATTTCTATTACCACTAATCAAATTCAGGGTAGAACTATGTTTAAATGCTTCCTGTAAGAAAAAAATCTGTTGCACTTTCTACCTTGAATTTGATGAGCGGTAATCAAAATTCCAAATAGATTTTTTTATACACCCTTGGGAGGATGTACCAGCTCACACAATTGTTATTTTTGAAATTGCGATTGGCATTAGCAAAAGTTCAACTATTGTTTAAAATTTGAAATGCTCAACTTGTAATCCCCTTTAGAAAAGTTGGATTTATGTAGTTGGAAAAGGATGTTGCATATAAATAGAAACATTAACTAATTTTACCTTTCAACCTGTTAACAAAATAGCAAAATGTTTTAACTTTGTTTGTCCCTCAAAAGGGCACAGATTTTATTTTCCGCCCCCCCCCCCCATCCCTGACATCATATGTTTTTACTAAACCTTAAGTTAAACCTTGACAGTACTGCTCTACTTCCGAACCTTATCAAGCTACCTCGACTCTACAGATTGATATTTTATCCAACCTTTGAACTTCTTCTTTCTTTCTTCAAGATGTTTTCATTGTTTTATTTATTTGATCAAGTTCAATTTATAAAATTTTGTAATTGTTTTTAAAAGCTTCAAGATCTCAAATATGTAAATATAAAAAGTTGTCGAAACCAGAGAATATTTTCGACTGAGCCGTGAGGGTTGATCTGTAGCCCTGTATTTCACGGTCTAGATAGTATAAATTCGTTTTAATTTTCGTATTTTTATTCCGACTTCTAAATTGTTTGTTTTATAAATTCGTTCACTGCCAAGCTTTCTACCAACCAAATTGTAATCTCTTGATGATTAAATAAAATTGCGAAAGAAATTTAATTATTTAGTATTTAGACAATTTGGTATTTTCATGAAAGTATGTTGAATGTGGATTATCTGATCGTTCTTGTATGTTTAGAAGTTGTAGTATCTGGAAACCCCCATTGTTTGACTGCTCAATATTTGGACTTTAATTACCAATAACTGCCGTTACAATATTTACTATTTAAGGCAGAAAACTAATTAAATCTTCTGAGCTGGGATCTTTAGAAGGGGGGATACCTTTAATCCGACTGCTTAATCCAAATATCCACTGTGGACACTTATTTCTTGCTTAAGTCACTCTTTTTAAAAATTAGGCTAGTCTTAAGATTAAGAAAAAGAGAGGATCAAGCATTGATCTTGATATCCACCATTCTAAAGTTCCCAGCTCAGGTCGATATATTTAAAGAGTTTCAGATCGTCTTTAACGTCTCATCTTTTATGGGTATCTCTGTATAATGTATCTACATCTTTTTGTTTGTTTGTATGCCATGATCAAAACTCGTAAACCCCTAGACCGAATGTTCTCAGCTTGGTTTTTGAGATTCTAAGTTGAGTGGGTCAAATTTTATAGGAAAAAAATAGCTAAAATCTCAATTTAAGAATAAGCGCGGGTGGGAGTATGAGTACCCTAAGCAACGCTGGGTTTGCAGTAAGTAAATAAGAAATGGAGGAAATCATATTGATTGATCGAAAGATCGAGATCAAGGTTGGAGAGAAAAGACCGGAATTGTTTATCTGATAAATTGTTTCTGTCCAGAGAGTAGAGACATCATAAACTTACAAATATTCAGGGTTACTTGCAAAGAATGAGATAGTAAGGACGACCTGGAATATTAAAATATGACGAGTTAAGGCAAATCGAGTCTTTCCTGCCTTTAGTAAACATACCTTGATCGAATCTAAATAAACGGAGGATTGTAAAGAAAGAAATTCAATTGGTAAGATCCTGAATACCATCATTAACAGGGGAGGAATGAGATAATGTAGCTCACTCAGATTTATTGCTCTGATTGAATCTGAATTTGATTACAAAATCATTAATCAATGTGAATCATTCTTCCTTTTACCGCCGAAAATGTAGCAGCGTCTGGTAATGTAAATCTCCCTTTTCAATTTTTCAACTTTAAAAACAGGGTGTCCCAAAAAAACATAGGAATTCAGTGACGAATTGGATATCGTCTTTGTTATGAATTAGCATTGTAATACCTAATTTCAAAAGTCACAATATTATTATGTCTGCTAGATTTTATTTTATGAAAAGATGTGTAAAGATGTGTTTATAATGTCTCCGCAAGATGAACAGTGAAGACGGACAAGTTTACTCTGTTTGTATACTGCAATTTTCTTGTTTTACTAAGTACAACCGTATGCAGTCAAAACATAAACAAACAAAATGTGAACATAGCAGACGAAACTCTTACAGATTACAGCTTAATACAGCTTAGTACCTTAATACTTTAAAACCCAAGGATAGTATGTTCTTCAGAAAGACTGTTGTCAACCATTAACATTAAGACCCCCCCCCTCTATGTAATGTCGTCTTCAACTTAAAAGCTCCTCTCGGAGACGAGAAACCAAACCAAACAATTTCAGCCCGCTTTTCTTCTTTGTTCTCCGACAACGGAGTATAAACGTTTATTAATTGTGAACCATTTCAAAGTTAAACAAGAATATTTTCATTTAAAGAATTAGTGACTTTCATCAACATTTAATTGTTAATCTTTTCAGAAGTTTTAATGTATAAAAAGCGTCTTCGGACTTTTCGACTGTTAACCCACAAATAAGCAAATAGATCGTAAGAATCTTTTCATTATAAATTTGTAAACCACTGTAATAATCATTTATCATTATTCATTTCATTTTTTTTTAGGAAATAAAGAGTTTTCTGCATTATCGATTTTGATTTGAGGGTTATTCCTTGTCTATCCGTTCATCGTCAGAATCTTGTTCCTTAGCGACAACAACTGTGCCTTTAGAATAGGACCTGCATTAAAAACATTTTTAACTTTTTAAACTTTTCCTGGACGCAGTTTTGATTGATTACGGTATTTGAATTTTTAAGTTTAATGAGACTCACTGATGATTCTGAAGTACAATTGTCAAAATAAATTTATAAAAATACCGCAATTTTTTTAATTTAATCAACAAAAAACGCTTAAACTGGAAAGATTTTTTCCGTTTTTAAAAATTTTTATTTCCTAATCATTCGGTCATTCCTTTGTTTTGGCCACAACCTTATCACTTCCCTACAGTTTCAAGTTCTTTTAACAAAGTAAAAAAAAATAATTATAATACGTGGAAGGAGGGGAGTTGCTAATATGCTAATAAGCATGTTACACATTTGTAAGTGAAAAAAAATCAAAACGAATGGAAGCTTGCTACTTTTGACCTTTAAAATGCATTTAATTAAAAAATTTCATATCTCGCAGCAAAAAGTTTAAAAAAAGAGAAATGTTTAAAGGATAAATTCAAGATTTTAAGTTTTTCAACATAAAGCTTGTTTAAATGAAATTTTTATATATATTGAGTAAGTTGGTAGTAATTTTTAGATAACAATATTTCCTTGAGAATAAATTGAAGTTTTTAGGTAAAAAGTATTGTTTCTGTCCTAAATGATCAGAAAAATATATCTTTTCTGTAAAAACAATTTTTTACTTGTACCATACTTAAATCTAACAAGCATGCACCAACTCCAACCCCCCCCCCCCCCTCTTCCTTATAACGTCCTTAGGACCCTAACCTCATCCTTATAACCTCCCTAGGACTCTACCCTCTTCCTTATAACCTCCCTAGGACCCTACCCTCTTCCTTATAACCTCCCTAGGACTCTAATCTTTTTCTTATAACCTCCCTAGGACCCTATACCCTCTTCCTTATAACCTCCCTAGGACCCTACCCTCTACCTTTACCTTATAACCTCTTTAGGACCCTACCCTCTTCCTTATAACCTCCTTAGGAATCTACTCTTTTTCTTATAACCTCACGGCCCTTCCCTTTCTTTTTCTTTCTCCCTTCCTAATCATTCCTCCCTAATCTTCATCCTGCCTGATCTCCTTCTTGCCTCCCCTTCTAATACCAAATTTCCTCCTTCTCCCTCCCTCATCTCCTTCTGCCTCCAAGACCTCCTTTATCCTCAACTCTATCTCCCTTCCATATTACCCTCATTCACACCTCCCTTCCTCATTTCCTCTTCTCTTCTTTTTCCTTCTCCCTCTACTCCAGTCTTTTACTCTCCCTCATCCCCTTCTCCCTCCATGCACCTCCATGCACCTCTTTCTGCCTCTAAGACCTCCTTTTCCCTCCGTCACCCGCTTCCTCACCTCCACCTCCCTCCATTATTTCCCTCATACACCTTCTTTGCCTTCTCTTCTTCCCTCTATCTTTTACTGTCCCTCCCTCGAATGTTGTTTTTAAGATCAAAACATGTTTATGTCCTCAAGCTTGTTATAAGATTTTCATATAAAGCACTTTATAAACATTTTATTGAAAAATTTGAAAGAATTTTTCAATGTCTTGACTTATGTTACAACAATATTCTCAATATTCTCAGTTCTTTTCAACTTTGAATAAAAATTCTACAGATGCCGTTGTCATATGGGACCGTTGCTTTTTACTTATTACTTAGTCATTATTTTATATACAGAGTTACCCAAAAAGAATGAGACTTCCGAGATGTCTTTACGAATTGTACTTCGTCTTTTTTTTCTCCATGCAACTTCATACTTTATACATTCTTTGCCAAATCATTTAATACGTTTATCAGTCCGAAGAACAAATAAAAATTCAGTTTGCCGGAATTACAGATTAATAGGCCGTCTTTATAGTCCTTATTGGGTAACCCTGTTTAGTGTTTATATACATATTTAGAGTACTTTGCGCCCATCATCTATTTAAACTTTTAATTGTGGCTTTATTTGTGAGCATCTTCTCTTTGTACAGAATAAAACAAAAACAAAAAAGTTTACAAATTTCATGAAATTTTTTCGCGCATTTTCAAAATTTTACAAAAATAAAAAATTTTTAAATACAATTTTTAAAATTTTGATCATTCATAAACTTTTCCTAGTAAAACCCACTTTCCTAGTAACAATTCTTTTCTTAGTAACAATTCCTTTCCTAGTAACAATCCTTATCCTAGTAACAATCCTTTTCCTAGTAACAATCCCTTTCCTTGTAACAATCCTTTTCTAGTAACAATCCTTTTCCTAGTAACACCCACTTTTCTAGTAACAATACTTTTCCTAGTAAAACCCACTTTCCTAGTAACAAGTCTTTTCTTAGTAAAATCCCTTTCCTAGTAACAATCCTTTTCCTAGTAACAATCCTTCTCTAGTAACAATCCCTTTCCTAGTGACAATCCTTTTCTGGTATCAAGTTTAAATTTTAAAGGGGTATTTTCTAAGTCGCCATTTTTAATCGTTTTCTGCAAAGAAAAAATCGTCGATTTTTCGGTTTAAATTGGTGGATTTAAAAAAATAATTAATGTCGACATCAATTGAATCAATGAACAATTAATTTGTGATTCGAGAATTAAAATCTAATAAAAGGTTAACAAACCAGCTGAAAGAAAAACTTTTTTTTTACATTTTTTATAAATAAATTAAAAAAAAAATTAAAACATATGTGCCAAATAAGTATAAAACTGTATGATATCCGACATGGTCTCTCACTTCACAATACAAATTACTAAAAAAATATCATATTTCTATTTATTATCTATCTTTGGTACAAATCCACTATAATTTTACTAGTGTATATCACTTTAGTTAAGTACATCGAAAAGGAAATGAGTACATGTACAATATACACCACACGAGTACAGCAATAATCTATGTACATTGCACATAAACATTAAATCTAATTACAGATAGCAAAAATTAAAACAATTACGGTTTTGATAAAAACCTAAGATTCTGAATTATTTTATCACACAAAAATTTAGAATGAAGTTTCTGTCGCCTAAAAGACAAAACGATAAAAACGTATATTAAAAACGTATATTAAAAGCGTATGAAAAATATGTCGACAAACTTAAAACGTAACTTTAACTTGTAATCAAACGTTAGAATTTTCCAAGACACACTACAATCAAGTGTGGTAATCAGAACCCGATTTTTTTATTAAATAATTTATTTTAATAATTAATAAACACAAGTAGGCGTAACCTGAACGCCATTTTTTCACACAATTTTGCTCTGCTCTCAACAAAGACATAATTAATTGCATTTGGAAGCTAAAGGACATTTGCGTATATAATATATATATATTTATATATACAGATCCATTTAGTGTTTAGCTCCTTACTTGAGTCTGCCTGTTTCGGAGTTTCTGGTTCTCATTGTATAAAGAAGTAGTAATCTCTGTTTGTTTGTCCAATCTTAACTCACTTGCTTTAAATATTGATTTAGGAAATCGGTAGAACTACGCAAATGTTTAGTTTTGTTTAAAGCTCTTAAATTATAAGTTTGACTTTTACAGGGAAAACTTCGCTTCCTTGCAAAGCTGGGTTCCCAAGCTAGCAGGAGGCAAATAAAGTAGAAAAATGGCTTCTGATTTTGTTTTCAACAATGTTCCTGTTTAAAAATATGTACAGTTTGTCTATAGTTTGTTTACATTGCAGAGTATGTAAAGTATGTAAATTATGTACATTGTATACATTATCACACTATCATTTGTTTTTTTGTCAATATCAATATTCCCCCCCTACACCCTCTTATTCCTCCAATATTTACCCTCTCCCTCTCTCTCTCATAAATCTATTATCATTAGTGTTCGGTCCGACCCAACTTTCACTCTTCACCAACCTAACTTTATTATGCGTCCTATCTGCTTCATATTTGCGTCCTACCTGCTTTCAATTTGCGTCATACCTCCTTTATCTGCGCGTCCTACCTCCTTGATTTGTGCGTCCTACCTCCTTTGATTTGAGTGTCCAACCTTCTTTATCTATGCGTCTTGCCTCTTTTATCTGTGCGTCCTACCTCTTTTATCCGTGCGTCCTTCCTCCTTTATCTGCACGTCCTACCTCTTTTATCTGCGCGTCCTACCTCCTTGATATGTGCGTCCAACCTTCTGTATCTGTATTTCCTACATCCTTTTTATGTCTTACCTTCTTTATATGTGCGTCCCACCTCCTTTGTCTGTGCTTCCTACCCTCTTTATCTGTGCGTCATACCTTCTGTGTCTGTTTGTCCTACATCCTTTATCTGTGCGTCATACCTCCTTGATTTGTGCGTCCTACGTTCTTTATCTGTTCGTCCTACCTTTTGTATCTGTTTGTCCTACATCATTTATCTGTGCGTCATACCTCCTTAATTTGTGCGTCCTATCTCCTATATCTGTGCGTCCTACCTCCTTTATTTGAGTGTCATACCTTCTTTATCAGTGCGTCTTACCTCCTTTATATGTGCTTCCTACCACCTCTGTGCTTCTAACCCCTTTATCTGTTCAATTGCTGCCTCATTTATCTATGTGTCCTCTCATTTTTCTATACGTCCTGTACTATCTTCAGTACGTTCTTACTCCTGCCTATTATATAGTCTCAATTTCTTCTCTTTTAAACAAATGCTTTAGGAGATTGCGGAGTGCTTCTCTGTGAGTGTAAATGCTTCTGAATGAGTTGTATCTCCGCCTCAATAGTTTCCAGGTCCCGGAGTAAGGTTCGGAAACTAGGACGATTTATAGGTTTTGAACTCCAGCACAACTTCATCAGCTTGTAGATTGATTTCGGAGTATTCTCAGGACACTCCAGTAGGTTCCCATCCTTCAAGTATTGAACAACCTGAAACATATATATTATATTAATTTAAACTTTACCAGAACAAACCTGGCCTTTTATTAGTCCATAGTAAGGTCGAGAGCAAACCTGTTCATTGATTAGTCCATAGTAAGGTCTAGAGCAAACCTGTTCATAGGTTAGTCCATAGTAAGGTCTAAAGCAAACCTGTTCATTGATTAGTCCATAGTAAGGTCTAGAGCACACCTGTTCATAGGTTAGTCCATAGTAAGGTCTAGAGCAAACCTGTGTCCGACTTTAATAAATCTAAGCCACGTCTTATATCCCCCAAAAACCGGTTTTAATTGACCGCCGGCTTAAATCTTGAAAAATTTAATACAAATTTAAGTGAAACCAACCATATTTGAGCGGCGGCTTAAATTTAAACCGTGGCTTAAATTCTTTAAATTCGGCCTCTGTTCATAGGTATGTCCATAGTAATTGGTCTAGAGAAAACCTGTTCAGTGTTCATTGGTCAGTACGTTAATAGTATAAGGTCTAGAGCAAACCTGTCCATTGCTTAGTCCATGGTTAGGTCTAGAGCACACCTGTTAATTAGTTTGCCCATAGTATGGTCTTAAGCACACCTGTTCATTGGTTAGTCCTTAGTAAAGGTTTAGAGCAAACCTATTTATTGGTAAGTCCATAGTAAGGTTTAGAGCAAACCTGTTCTGTTTGTCCATAGTAAGGTATAGAGCAAACCTGTTCATTGGTTAGTCCATAGTAAGGTTGAAGAGCAAATCTTTTCACTGGTTCGTCCATAGTAAGGGAAAGAGCAAACCTGTTCATTGCAAAGTCCATAGTAAAGGTTGAAGAGAAATCCTGTTCATTGGTTAGTCCATAGTTAGGTTGAAGAGCAAACCTTTTCATTGATTAGTCCATAGTAAGGGTCAAGAGAAAACCTGTTCATTGGTTAGTCCATAGTAAAGGTTTAGAGTAAATCTGTTCAATGGTAAGTCCATAGTAAGGGTCAAGAGCAAACCTGTTCGTTGGTTAGTCCATAGTAAGGTTGAAGAGCAAAGCTAAATATCTCCCAGAGTAAGACCCCGAAGGCCCAGATATCTGTCTCTACAGTATACTTGTTGTGTAGAATAGACTCCAAAGGCATCCAACGGATAGGGATAGCATCACTATCCTCCCCTCTATAGTAATCCTAGATAGACAAATCAAATATAAACAGGAAACCAAAATTGAAAGGATGAATGAATAAATGAATGATTGAAAGGATGAATGAATAAATGAATGATTGAAAGGATGAATGAATAAATGAATGAATGAAAGGATGAATACATGATTTCAAGATAGGAATAAGATAACTTTCCCTCGATAGTAATCCTAGAGTCAGCAAATATAATGGGGAATGAATGAATGAAAAAACAAATTTATAAAATACTGAATTAATTTATTGAATAAGTAACAAATGAATGATGCTTCAATGATAGAAATAGCATCATTGCTTCTCGATAGTAATCCTTGATAGAACTATGAAAAGTGTGAATGAATGAAGGATTTATAGGCTAGATAAACAAAATATTAAAGGATGAATCAATTAATGAATTAATTAAGGAAGAGATTAATAAAAAGAGTGAACGGATGAAAAAGGATAAAAAAATTAGCGAAAGAATGAATGAATGCATAAAAGGATGAATAGATGAATGAAAGAATGAATAAGGAGATGTATAAAGAACCTGTAAAAACATTTTCTGTGAGAGTCCAAAGTCTGCAATCTTGACAACATTGTTGTTTAGCAGACAATTTCTGGTGGCGAGGTCACGGTGTACAAACTTCCGGTCAGACAGGTAGACCAGCCCGCATAGAATCTGCTTAGATAATCCAATCTGCTCTGTAATAGACAGATTATGTACACTTTGTACACTGTCTGCTGTATGTTGTATGTTGTATATGTATATATGTTGGGATTGGTCATAGAGTGAGAACCAGAAAACAATGGAATAGAAAGACGACACTACAGAAATGCTTATGTGCATTTGACGTTATTGCAAAGTAATAAGTAAGACACTATTATAGTGAAATGGGTCTGTTCTGGTACTTTCTGAATTGCCCCCATGATAAAAACTAACACTCGTATCAACGCCCTCTCCCCACCGGACACCAGCTGTTATTGTAAAAAAGTTGAAGAAACTAATACTTAAAACTTAAAAAGTGAAAAACTTATCTATTTTGCCATAAAAATGATAAAAACTAACACTCGTATCAACGCCCTCTCACCACCTGTTGTTGTAAAAAAGTTGAAAAAAATATAATTAAAACTTAAAAAGTAAAAAACGTATCTATTTTGCCCTAAAATTGATAAAAACTAACACTCGTATCAACGCCTTCTCCCCACCGGACACCAGCTGTTATTAAAGAAGTTGAAGAAACTAATACTTAAAACTTAAAAAGTGAAAAACGTATCTATTTTGCCATAAAAATGATAAAAACTAACACTCGTATCAACGCCCTCTCACCACCTGTTATTGTAAAAAAGTTGTGCCAAGAAAATATAATTAAAACTTAAAAAGTGAAAAACGTATCTATTTTGCCCTAAAAATGATATAAACTAACACTCGTATCAACGCCCTCTCCCCACCGGACACCAGCTGTTCCTTCTCCTCTCCCCCACCCCACCAGCTGTCAGATTCTACGCAGGCATTCAAAGAAAATTATTTAATGTGGATCTACAAAATCCAACCCCCCTCTGTCTCTCTCTTGGAATTATAATAATGACACGCGGCATTCGGGAAAATTCAAGTCCGCGACGCCCTCCCCAGAAAGTCTCCCTACGGCCCATGCCTTTGAAAGGGACTGAAAAAATTCATACGGAGTCGGAGAGATTGTTCCCCTCTAATATATATTCTATATTTTCTATGGCTTGGGGCTGGCAGCCATGACGCCCTTCCCCCTCTCTTGTGGGGAACCCTAGCGGCAGGCCTTAGGATGTAATACCGTAAAAATTAAAAGTGTGGTGTGCTGTACTTAATAATATTTTTATTGTTTTTTTAAATTTTCATCTTTTGTTTCTGTGATTGAAAACCGGTTTGGAAAATGGGGTGATATAATTTTGTAGAATAAAAAATTATGAATTAATTTAGCAATTTTTAAAAAATCTTTTGAAAGTCTTATTTATTAAAATAATTATATGATAATAACAAAAACATTTATTTATTAAAATTATATCTACATAAACTTTTGGACCCCCAATAATTTTGAGTCTTCCAGAAGTCAGCTGTTCGCATATTTACGTTCAATTTCTTTCAAATTCGGACATTTACAAACTTCAACAAAGAAAAGAAAAATTAGAGTATTTGATGTGAATCGAATTTTTTGAATATGAAAATGAAATACTGGTACTGAGTTCAATTTTCATAAATTATTTCGATTATTTGTTATGGTGTTCATTGTACGCGCACGCAACATTATCAATCATTTTATAAGTTTCATTGTATAATTATTTTTAACTTTATTTTTGGACACTTAAGTTATAAGTAAATAATAAATATCTTTTTTGAATAATAAATAAAATAAATTTAAAACTATTTTTTTAAATTCCCAGTTATGCTAATTGTTATGGGTTATGAATTTAACAATTTGGGTCCGTCCTAGTTTACGAATTTTGGCCCTGCGCCCCCTCTTAATAATAATTTTTTATTTCCTAGAGAACAAGTTTGTACATGGATTTCATATGTAACACATGGATATAATTGGTCATGTGGCCGCAGCGCCCGTCCCCCTAACCTGTCCTAGCCGCAGCGCTCGGCTCCATAGACAGACCCATTAATTTTGTACATGACCTAGACTTCCACTATTTTCAACTAAAAAATATTTATTTTTGTATTTATAATTCAGGGTTTGGTTAAGGTAGGACACTTTATGGGCCGAGCGCTGCGGCTAGGGGCCGAGCGCTGAGGCCACACGATCAAATTTGTCAATGTGCGTCTTTTTAAAACTACCTAAGAATCTATAATAAAACATGTACAAATTTGATAGGAGGGGGGGGGGGGGTAAAAAATCGGTCTTTAGAAAATTACCGTGGTACAGGTTTTTTAAACCCCCCTCCTATCGTTTTTGTACATAAATCTTTTATGTAACGCTTGAGCATAATTTGACACTGTCCCCCAACCTGTCATAACCACGGTGGCCGACCCCTAACCTGACCTAGACGTAATGCTTGGGCTATTATCCTGTCCAAAAATCTAATACTAGGACTGAACTCACAATCTATTAAAGAAGATATGATCCAGTTGTTAAGGAATTTTATTTAAAATAAAACAATATTATTTTCAGATGAATTTGTGAAGAATGAAAGCTCCCGCAGGTCTAAGTAGTTCTATTAATTCCTTGACAGGATCTATCCGTCCTCTAGAATCAGTCAAGGTATTTTTTTCTCTTAGTCAAGTATACTTCTATTATTTCCTTGACAGGATCCATTCGTGCTCTAGAATCAGTCAAGGTATTTTTTATCTTAGTCAAATATACTATTGATTCCTTGACAGGATCCATCCGTGCTCTAGAATCAGTCAAGGTATTTAATTCTCTTAGTCAAGTATAGTTTTATTGATTCCTTGACAGGATCCATACGTCCTCAAGAATCAAGGTATTTTTTTTCTCTTAGACAAGTATAGTTCTATTGATTCCTAGACAGGATACATCCGTGCTCTAGAATCAGTCAAGGTATTTTTTTTCTCTTAGTCAAGTATACTTCTATTATTTCCTTGACAGGATCCATCCGTGCTCTAGAATCACAATCTTTTTGATCACTATAAAGTGCTTTTTTTAGTACAAATTCCTGCACCTGATCTCATTTATTTATTTATCTAGTCATCCAATTGTGATACTTATATTATTATTTATTTTATTTATTAACTTGTTCTTAATTCTGGTTTTCTTTCACTTTTCACCCCCCTCATTTTTTTTTGAGCTGACACTTTTATATCTTTTGAAATATCGATAAAAATAAAAAAAAAACTAATCGATTGAATTGAATAAATGCTTCATAATAAAATATTTAAATTGTTCCGTATATTTAGGTTGTTGTTAGATGTCGCCCATTAAACGAGAAAGAGATTGACGCTGGGCACGAGAGCTGTGTTCAAATCTACCCAGACCGAGGACTGATCGAGCTCAGAAACCCTAAACTAGGTCCAACGGATCCCATTAAAACCTTCACCTTCGACGCCGTGTACGACTGCAACTCCAAGCAGTATGATTTGTACGCAGAATCATTCGCACCCTTGGTTGACGCAGTTCTTGACGGCTTTAATGGGACTATATTTGCGTACGGTCAAACTGGCACGGGTAAAACATACACCATGGAGGGTATCCGATCCGAACCTAATAACAGAGGCGTTATTCCTAACTCCTTCGAGCATATATTTAGCCATATTTCGAAATCCGCAAACCAGCAGTATCTGGTTCGTGCCTCCTACCTCGAAATTTATCAAGAGGAGATTCGAGACCTTCTTTCGAAGAATCAAGGAAAGCAGCTTCCGCTGAAGGAACGGCCGGATACCGGGGTTTATGTCAAGGATCTCTCATCATTCGTCTGTAAGTCAGTCTCAGAAATAGAGCATGTGATGTCCGTCGGTAATCAAAACCGGTCCGTCGGTCCGACAAACATGAACGAACATTCGTCCAGAAGTCACGCCATCTTCATCATCACGATCGAATGCAGCCAACTGGACGATGAAGGAAATTCGCATATTCGAGTCGGAAAACTCAATCTCGTGGATTTGGCGGGAAGCGAACGACAGTCGAAGACAGGAGCTCAGGGAGACAGGTTTAAAGAAGCGACTAAAATCAACCTTAGTTTGTCGGCTCTGGGCAATGTAATATCAGCTTTGATAGATGGAAAGTCGACATATATTCCATACAGAGATAGCAAACTTACAAGATTGCTTCAAGACAGTTTAGGGAGGTTTCAAATGAATTTTTGTTTTTAGTATTTGGATTTTTTAAAGTCAAAATATAAAAGTTTGTATAAAATTCGTAGAAATTAATACAGCAAAAATATTTCTTAGTTTTTATTTTTTTTCTATTTTTATAATTTGAAACTTAGGAGGAAATGCCAAAACCGTGATGGTTGCCAATTTTGGTCCTGCCAGTTATAATTACGAGGAAACTGCCACCACTCTCAGATACGCTAATAGAGCAAAGAATATTAAGAACAAGCCTAGAGTTAACGAAGACCCTAAAGACGCCTTACTCCGTGAATTTCAGCAAGAAATTGCGCGCCTTAAAGCTCAAATTAATGAAAAAGGCGGAGAGAAGAGTAAAAAGAAGAGAGTGAAGAAGAAGAAGAAGGTTCCGAAAGAGAAGAAGGAAACCAGGGAAGAGAATGAAAATGAAGATGAACCTAAATCTGTCGAAGATTCTGGAGAGTCTGTTTATGAGGATGAATATGAGGAGGACGGCGAGGCGGAGGGGGCGGATGATGAAGAAATTTCTCTGAAAGAAACGGCGGAGAGACTGGCAACGGAGAAGGAACTCCTAGAAAACGACACATCAATGCTGGCGGAGGAAAAGAATAAAATCCTCGAGGAAATGAGGCGGAAGGAGGCGATGTTGAGCCGTGAGCGGGCGGAGAAAGAAAAATTGGCGGCTAAGATTGCCGCCATGGAGAGTAAACTACTGACCGGAGACGGGAAGACTATTGTTGATCATACCAACGAGCAGCAGCGAGCACTAGAGCAGAGACGAGCTGAAGTTGCAGCAAGGTTGATTTTTATTCATATAAATAAAAACATTTTTTTTTTACTTTTTTTAGAGTAATATATAAACGGTACAATCTTTATGAAACTGAATCATAAACTAGATCCAGATCCATTTGGTCTCAACACGTATCCGGATTTGGATCAAAATAATGGATGGTATCCGTATCTTAATAGGCTGAATCCGGATCAATTTTTACAGGATGTAGCCAAATCTGCATCAAAAAAGAAGATATTTATTTTTTATTCATTTCAATTGTTTATTTTAAGACGGAAAACCGAGGTTGAGGTTGCACGAAGGTTGGAAGAGCAGGAGGAGAAGGGAGTTGAACTAGAGAAAACCTACTCCAGTCTCCAGCAGGAGGTGGAGATTAAAACCAGGAAACTTCGTAAACTGTTCTCTAAACTACAGACAACAAAGCAGGTCTGTGCGCAGGGGTTTTGATGTTTTATAAATCAATATTTTCCCTAACTACGTTGGAACATTTTTTTCTAGCTGATTTGGGAATAATTTATGATTTAAAGAGGAAAAAAGTTATTTTTTGTAATAAGATTTTAATATAGACGGGGAAAGCTTGATGTAGGTCGATTTTTTTTCATTCAGTACCCTTTTTTTGTAGTTTTCCCATGAAATTAAAAAAAAGAAACCAAGCTATGTTCAACGTATTAAGAAAAAATATTGAGGAAGGGGGGGGTGTATCATTTAAATAACCTCATTATTTCTCCCTGCGTGACCGATGTGTTTTTCAAGGATATTGTAAATAACTAACCTGTTTATGTACAGGTTGAGAAAATAAAAATTAACTCTTATTTTCTAATTCAATATATGTTTTTATAATCTCTCATTATTTACAAAGATTTTCTGCAGATTTTCTGGAATTTTTATTGAAAAGACGACATTTGAAGAATTTGTAGAAATCTGCGAACAAAATCATAGAAAATAAGAAATTCAATATAATGATGAAAACGAAATAATTGATTCTAACATTGATTTATTGAAAAATTTCTTTTGAGAAATATGTTCCTAAACATCTAATTAGTTTACTGTATAATTTTTACTTTATTTTTCGTCGTCGTTATTTAATAATTTAAAGAAAACCGATTCTGAAAACGTACCCACCCAAATTCACAATTTTGAACATCGACTTTGCACTCAAACTTAGTAATTATAGATCTTGGATATGATATGTTCAACCACAATATTATGCCGGTCACTCCCTTTAAGAATATTGTTATAGTGACCAAAGAATAAAACCGTGACCGGTGTTTTGTTCAGGATATTGTTGATGTGACCGAGGAGTATAACCGTGACCGACGTGACCTTGAGCTGACCCAGGAGGAACTGTTGAAGGAGTTGAAGCTGAAGTATCTCATCATCGAGAATTTTATCCCTGCTGAGGAGAAGGAGAAGGTTCTAGCTCGCGCTAGATTCGACGAGGAAACTTATACAAATGTACGACATTATCATATTTCTTTGTGTTACTAGACCAATAATAGACAATAAAACATTTATAGAAGGACTGAACTAACGTAATTTCAAGAGTTACATTCTGATTTACAACACTCCCCTAATTGTCTTAACCTTGATTAAAAAACTCTGAGGAAAAACTTATTTGAAATGGATAAATTCTTTCAATTCTCTTCATTGTCTGTACTACAAGACAATGTAAACTTTTTCAGTTGTAATATTAATTGAAGGTTATATATCTATATTCAAATTTAGTTAATACTTGTTTACAAGTTTGCAATTTATTTTTTATTCGAAAAATTTGTATAATTGGTTGAATTAAAGGATGAAGACTTGTGGAAACTTGGACCCTCTCGTCCACAGTCAGGTATTATATCCATCCTCCCCCAGGCCCCTTATCGTTCTCAAATTCATTAAATTATTATTATTATCATTAGGATTTAAGTTTGCTTTAATTAAAATTTGACAATTATTCACATAAAGTTTTATAATATTAAAAAATGGTCGCTGGACCTTATCAAGCCATTAATAGCTAAAATGATCTAATATTACAATGTATGTTTAAAGACACGTGTAAAAATTCTAAAAAAATGTTATGATTTGGATCTGAATAATTTTTTTTCGTACTAAACGGATTCCTAGTCCCGGATCCTGAATCCGAATCCAAAATGAATTGATCTGTTATATTACAGTGTTATGTTGTGGACCTATCTGTAAAAGACCTGTTTCCCTTGGGCCCCTACTTTTTCTCATATACATAAACGATTTGCCTTTAGCAACGCCTTTTTTTACTAATCTATTTGCTGATGACACTAGTTTTCTAAAATCATCTCCACATATCGAAACTTTAGTAATTGATGCGAACTTTGAACTAAAAAAGGCAGCTACATGGTTTCAGGCAAACCGTTTAACACTTAATGTTTCCAAAACTAAGTTTATGATATTTAGGAATAAAAATATGCATTTTGATCCTGAGAACTGCAAATTAAAAATTGGAAATGAGAAACTAGAAAGAATAGGAACTGACTGTACAAATAAATATTTCAAATTTGTTGGACTCAAAATTGATGAATTTTTAAATTGGGACTAGCAAATTGAACATGTTTCCAATAAGATTGCTAGCTCAATTTTTGCTCTGAATCAGATTAAAAACATTTTACCGTTAAACATTCGTCTACTAGTCTATAATGCACTTGTAAGGCCACATATTGAGTATGGAATTATAACATGGCGGGGGCGTAAAAAATGCTAAACTACAGAAAATCAAGTCTCTGCAAAAAAGGGCAATTAGAGCAGTAAATAATAGTTCATTTAAGGCACACTCAGATCCAATATTTTTCAGATTAGAACTCCTAAATTTTGATGATACATATAAACTAGGTGTTCTACCTTTTATGCATAAATACTTTTATGAAAACCTTCCAGCTTCCTTCCATGATATGTTTAATTCTTTAGCTGAACCAAATAGAACAAAATCATATAAACTTGAACGGGTTCTCTTTAAAACTCTAGAATGTTTTCCCTCTGCTATATTTCCAAAAATATGGAATTCGATTGAATTAGAGCTGAAAGAAACTAAATCTGCAAAATCGTTTAAAAGCAAAGTCGCCAAGATCTATTTAGATAGTTATGCAAATTATATCTGTAAAAAAAAAACTGTATCATGTGGATAAACTTAGTCTTTACTATTTTCATCACCCTGTATTTCATAAACATGATTTTAATAACTTATGTTAGTTACCCTTTGTTCCAACCCTTAAGCTGAGTATCCTCCCTTTCCCTTATACTCCCTCACCTCCTCCTTACCATTTTCCTGATTTATCATCATTCTTAGTTTAAAATGTACAATGTACATTGTTTTTATCTGCAATTCTCATTCGTTTATAGTGGGCCAACCAATTAAAACAACCTACTCTGGTTAGGCGGGTCCAAACTACATAGTAAATTGTGATTTTTTATTTGTATTATCTCTTACTTTGTAGTTGAATAAAATATGAAATATGAAATATGTTGTGGACCTATCAGTAAGAGACCTGTATCCTGGTATATTATATTGTTATGTTTAGGACCTATCAGTAAAAGACCTGTGTCCTGCTATATTATATTGTTATGTTTAGGACCTATTAGTAAAAGACCTGTGTCCTGGTATATTTTATTGTTATGTTTAGGACCTATCAGTAAAAGACCTGTGTCCTGGACCTGGTATATTATATTGTTATGTTTAGGACCTATCAGTAAGAGACCTGTATCCTGGTATATTTTATTGTTATGTTTAGGACCTATCAGTAAAAGACCTGTATCCTGGTATATTCTTTTGTTCTGTTTAGGACCTATCAGTAAGAAACCTGTGTCCTGTTATATTATATTGTTATGTTTAGGACCTATCAGTAAGAGACCTGTGTCCTGCTATATTATATTGTTATGTTTAGGACCTATCAGTAAGAGACCTGTATCCTGGTATATTATATTGGTATGTTTAGGACCTATCAGTAAGAAACCTGTGTCCTGTTATATTATATTGGTATGTTTAGGACCTATCAGTAAAAGACCTGTATCCTGGTATATTATATTGGTATGTTTAGGACCTATCAGTAAGAAACCTGTATCCTGGTATATTATATTGGTATGTTTAGGAACTATCAGTAAAAGACCTGTGTCCTGGTATATTATATTGGTATGTTTAGGAACTATCAGTAAAAGACCTGTGTCCTGCTATATTATATTGTTATGTTTAGGAACTATCAGTAAAAGACCTGTATCGGCGGCCGGCTCACGCCGACCTGTTTCTGAATATGCCAGGTAAATATTGTCCTAATCTATATTTTTAACAGAAAGTTAAAAAATGTTTACTTTGAAGTTTTCTGTATTTTTGGCAACACTTATTTAAACTTTTAAAAGACATTTGGCATATTGTAGACTTACAGGGTTATACATTTTTATGCAATTACCTCCTTTCCCAATTCGGGAGATAATTTATTAAACTGGACTTAACCTGCAAGCCGTTTAATCTATTTGAACATGCATTTATAGAAAATATTTAAAAGATGTACTTTAATTGGGAAATCAAAAAGTGAGATGTTAAGCTCGTAATTAATAATGTTTTTACTTCAGGATGTTAAGTAGCATTGGAGGAAACCCGAGATATCGAGGAGAAAATATTATGAAACTAAATCTGGATCATCCAGCAAGGAAAACATTCAAAAATCAAATTGAAGTGATTTCTAAGAGTTATTTTCCATATCTTCTTTTTAACCATTCCACCCCCCCCCCCTCACCCTCTCCATATGGGAAGGAATTTTTTGCTTAAGCCACAAGAAAAAGAAAATTTTATTAAAAAAATCTTTTGAGTTCAATGATCTTATGTAATGTTTGTGTAGAACAACACGTGACTATGAAGGCCCAAGTGTGGCGCCTCGTGTTCAGGCAGCACTCGACGCGGCAATGAACAACATCGAGGAAGATTTGGATATCGACGCGCTCGCGATAACCAACGCGTTTGCTGTAAAAGGCACGCGTAAAGAGAAAAAGAAAGCACGGCCTAAGAGCGGTCGGGACCGACGTGAAAACTATCCGCAATCGCGGGGTTTGGTCCCGAAATGATCAAATTTGACTCATCAGGGAGCCGGCGGCCTGCCAGAGTTCAGAAATTGGGAATTCGAATCCGATTTTTCGGACTCTGACAGTGTCAGCCTCAATACCGTCATAGATTCTTCAGAGAACCGTCGTTTCAAATCCAAAACTTGCAATCAGTCAATCAATTCCAATTTGGCCTTTTTTTGTGTAGTTTGCTTGGTATGTCGGCTTCTGCAAATCATTTTTCAATCATTTTTGAAAATATTTCATTAAAATAAAAATTCGCAAAAAAATAAGTATACAATGTATTGTACAATGTCCATATATTCTACACAATAAGAAAACTTACTGGTACTTTTTTTAACACCGGTTTCATTACTTAATGAAAAATCTACCAATAAATCTTTAAATTATTTGTACGGTAGTAATTGTCGAATAAATTAACCATTTCTAGTCGAAATGAAAATTAATTCCTTCAAATACATAATAAAACCGAAATCCTTTTATTTTTGTTTTTAGCTGCCGGTGTCCTTAGATGAGTCCGGTGCACATGTATCTGCTTATTACAAAAATGTATTGTATGCACCGTTTTTTTTTTTTTTACTGATTGGTCATATTTTTTTGACTTTGCAGCGCATATCATTAGTTTATAGCCAAATTATCCACTAAATTATTTTGTAAACATTTTTTCAGTTCTTAAAGGAACTGCCATTCTATTTAACGAACTTCTTGTCCTATTCACAGCGGTACCATCATCTTTAAACTCTTTTCTTTGTTGCAGTATTTCGTTATTCACTTAAAACACAGAAATTGCAACGGGAAATTATCAATTTTCTGACCAGATTATCTACATGTTTTTTTGTAGAGACAAAGTTGTAAGAGGTACCGTTGCGATTCTGACATTAACTCGTTAAATTTAGACTCAAGAGTCACTAGGAATTATGTCATAGGCCTTTGAAATAAAATCCAGACAGTTTTCCAGGTTTGAAAACCGGTTGTTGAAATATTTCGTGGATTTGCTGGTTCTCTATTCTAGTTTTTCAAATTAAAGCATTAAAGAAAAGATTAAGTTCCAAAATCATCTCTATTCAGTGTTCAAGTACAGATTTGTTGTGTTCATGTACACTGCCGTTGCGCAACGTACTTAAATGTACTCAAATGTACTAAAACATACTATTATTTAATCAAATGTACTAATATTTACTTCGATGTACTTAAATGTATTTAATTGTACTTTTTAATATGTATATTGCCTTAAATCATGCCGTGAATTAAGCACCAAAATTTCCCTTCTCGCATTTTCTTGTAGGAAATAGAGTAAATATTGGATAACAACCAAATACGTACGGCGGGTTAAAAACACTCAATACGTTATATACTAAGCAACTACTGAATCCTATTTTTATCAAGTTATGTCTTTTTTTAGTGTTTTTTTTTCTTTAAAAATATTCTACTTTCACACATCGTTTGGTCCCAAATTGATTTTGTTCTTTACATGACAATCTTTTTGATCACTATAAAGTGCTTTTTTTAGTACAAATTCCTGCACCTGATCTCATTTATTTATTTATCTAGTCATCCAATTGTGATACTTATATTATTATTTATTTTATTTATTAACTTGTTCTTAATTCTGGTTTTCTTTCACTTTTCACAAATATTCATCACTCTCTGTCAAGTTTAAACTTAAATCTAAGTTTATTCTAACATAAAAACCTCTGTGTGTAAAAAATAGTCCACAAAATGTAATATTTATCAAAAATAATGAATATCTTGTCTTATCTTTAGGTCCAAAAATTCACTTAAAGCCTCATTCAATAAAATACTCTAAAACTTCCTTTAAAAATTTGGATTTAGAATTTTTTTATCACACACCCTAAGGAATACATGTTAACAAATCTTCTTTTCCGATTATTTTGTTAATCACAAAAAAATCAACTTCTTTTATTGTACAATGTACATATACTTACATAACATGTTATATGATTATGTAACACACACTTAAACCCCTCAGTTGTACATAGTACATATATACTAACATAACATGTTATATGATTATTTAAAACACACTGAAACCCCTCAGTTCCACTCATCAAATATTAATTGTACATTGTACATATATACTTACATAACATGTTTAATGATTATGTAACACACACTTAAACCCCTCAGTTCCACTCATCAAATATTAATTTTCTAGAGATAATGATAATAGTGTCAAGGCCCGAGAATCTGTAAACATGACTTAATAATTCAGGAATTAATCAATAAACTAGGTTTTCAGGGTTATATCGGTTAAGTAGTGAAAATAATTGATTCTTTAGGTAAAACAAATAAATTCTGATTTGTTATCCCAGTTCATCGAATTTTTATTAATTGATATAACTATACACTTGGAATATCCGAAAAATATTTTTTGGAAATTTTAAACATTGTTAAGAATTTTTTTTTAATGGATTAGTTAAAAAGAATACATAAGTGATTTTGTCAGTGGAAAATAATAAAATGAAACTTTATGAATATTTCTACTTAATACATATCATTTTTGGTTGGTTGATCAATTGATTGATATATATTGATCAGGGGAGAGCCCTACTAGGGCAAATAGCAATATGTCCTCCACCCTCACCCCTACCCTCACACAAGCAAACAAGAAGGACCTGGACAAGTTCACCAAGTATCTATCTATCAAAGCAGTCCAGCTGGTGGTACAGTCCCGCCTGGGTGAGAAGTGCTGTGCCCCGTCTACTCCTGACGTGTCTGCCGGCACATCCTGGTATAATCTAGCCATCAAGGATATACCAGAGGTAACCCGTAAGATAGGATAGGGTGCCAATTTAAGCACCAAATGTTAACTAGTTCCTAAAAGATTAAATTTTGATATAAGATTTGATAGTTACATATTGTATATGCTCAGATATGATTTTTTCGACGAGGCCATCCTGCAATTTTCGCCACACTTTTTTGAGAGATTCCTTATAAAATATATTTAATGATCATGCTAAGTTTCATTCTTGGCATTTATTTGTTATTGGAGCTAGAGTTTTAAACCTTAATTTTTGGGATGTTTTTTAAAAAGTTTTCTTGGTAAAGACGAATTTTCAAACAAGGAAAACGACTTTTCTCCCAATATCATAGCGTTGTACAAAATTTAATGATAATCCATGATTACCAAAAGCTGACCGAGTTCTCAAAGAATGCCCCTATTTGGACCTAATGGGTTTCCGCCCTAAATTTGTATTGGATCTTAAGATTAGTCGGGTATGTCGAGTTGGATTTGGGTTGGACGTAGTTATAACTGGGAGTCTTATTTAAATCCGTAAAAATGCGCGTGGAGTAAAAAACTTCTCGATAATTATGTCGGTTTCCTCTTGATCACTTTCCATAGCTTCATTATTTTAAAAATTAAAGTAAAATATTTATTTTTTTCATAATACTTGAAGACCATATTAATTATATTGTAATTTGCTATTATTTTTTTTTTGTAGCGTGTGACTTATCTCTAATAAATCTTATATATTTATTTCTAGGTTCTATCAGAGACTAAGAGATGTATGTCAGGCCATCTCCCAGCTCCAGGTCGACCTCTAGTCGTTGAGATCTCCTTGAAGACGGTAGAGGGGGATAGTTTAGTACTGGAGTGGTGGAGGTTGGCTGTCATAGCTGGTGGAGATCCAACGGTACACTTAATAATAGTTATGATGATAATGATAATATATGATGGGAATAATAATAATAATACTAATCATGATAATATTGATGGAGTTTCAGAAAAATTGCATACAAATATATCAACAGAAATAGCCCGGCCCTGCTTTATCTTACATTACTAATTAAAGCCTTGAGACAGGTGTATTCCCTATTTGTTGGAAAATGTCCAGAACTATTCCTATTCATATAAAAGATTAAAGAACGACTTATCTAATTTTTGTCCAATTGGATTAATCAACGGATTTTCTAAAATATTGGAAAAAATTCTGCATAAAGAATGCTTTCAATTCTCAACAATAATAACTTTTTTAAAACAAATCAATTTGGCTTTTTACTAGGACGTAATGTGATGCGAGCAATCACAAAACTGTTGAACTAAATTTTCAGCGCACTAAATAATAATGAATCTGTTTAACTTATCATGCTAGATATTTCTAAAGCTTACGACTGTATTGATTACAAGATACTTCTGAAAAAGCTTGCAAACGCAGGAATCATGGTTCGAATCTTACTTGCGCGGCAGGGGGCAAAAAGTCGATATAATTGTTACCTTCTCGGACTTATTCGAAATATTAGAGACGGGTCTTGTTCAAGGATCAAGTCTAAGCTGTTTACTGTTTATTATATATGTAAATGATTTCACATTATCAAAAGATATCAAAAACGCAAATCTTAGAAAAAGAAATGATTTTTATATTCCTAGAGTCAAAACTATTAAAATTGGTCTGCTTCCTTCTCACAAATTGCAGAATTAAATTGCAGAATATTAGCAGCAGAACCAATGTTTTAATTCTAACACATGCTATGTTTGCAAAAGAATCGAAGAAAGAAAAGACGATTTCACAACCCTCTATTTTTTCAGCATTAAAAATAAATCTATAATTTTTATTTCATAAAGTTGTTAGTTCATCGTCGAAAAATACCAACAATCCACCACCAGTTATATTAAATATCTTATCCTTTTATTTTTTTTATTTTTTTTTTATTGGGGGGAAATATTCCCACAACCTCTATTTTTGGAGGTTTTCAAATATTTTCTCCTGAAACACTTAATTTTGTATATTTTGTTATATTTCATAAAGGAATAATTACTTACTTACTACTTAATACTAAAATAATGATGATGATTATTATAATGATGATATAAGGATGAAAAGGATGAAAATGATTGTTTTGGAATCTGGACAGATTAAACAACTTTTTTTATCAATTTTGATGGTTATTATATCGTTAGAACTGACCAGGGTAAACCCAGAACGAAATATATTTTCAATAAATGTGGAACTAACATCTACTTTTTACTCTACAGAGGTTTGGTCCATCACCATCACCAAATTTTAAAGATAATGGTGATAAAGATGATAATGATGATAATGATGATACTGATGATAATGATGATAATGATGATAATGATGATAATGATGATAATGATGATAATGATGATAATGATGATAATGATGATAATGATGATAATGATGATAATGATGATAATGNATAGTGATGATAGTGATGATAGTGATGATAGTGATGATAGTGATGATAGTGATGATAGTGATGATAGTGATGATAGTGATGATAGTGATGATAGTGATGATAGTGATGATAGTGATGATAGTGACGATAATGACGATAATGACGATAATGATGATAATGATGATAATGATGATACATAATACATATGTTAATAATGATGATAGTGATAATACAAATAATAATAATGATGATAATGATGATAATGATAATACAAATAATAATAATGATGATAATGATAATACAAATAATAATAATGATGATGATGATGATACATATGATAATAATTAAGATAAGACTTAAGAGTAAGACATATCATACTAATGATGATAATGATAATACCTATGATAATAATAATGAAAATGATAAAACATATGATAATAATGATGATGATTATAATAATAAAGATGATATTAATGAGGATGATATTAGTGAGGATAACAATGATGATTGTATTGATGATAATAATGATAAGGTGAATATAACCGTATGTTTAGATAAAAGTAACACATGGCGTGTATAACCGCATGGGTCTCCTGTTGAAATCACTGATAACCGTTACCAGAGTTACCCCTGCCTACAAGCTGTCCAGAAGACAGGGACAGGACAGCTATGTTATCTGCTACAGGTACAGACGACCACGTATAATATTGAAAACTAGCCAGGGAACCCATTTTTTCTTAGTAAAGTATACTAAATCGATTTGCAATTTTTTAACCAAGCTAAGAACATTCCCGGGGTTCTAACTGTTCGACATTTGAAAATTTGAGACAAATCGGTCAAGGGGTATATGAGTTATGATCGGGCGTACCAACAAACATATTGATTTGCAAACAGGGATTAATACTTATTAAATATTGATGCATTCATGTTAGAAGGGGTAAGATTCTCAACAAAAAATATAAACAGGCTTTTATTTGAATAATTTACCATTGAGAGGGGGGAATGCATAGAAAATACGAATTCTAGGAATAAATTCTTCTTTTTGATACTTTATACTACGACGAGGTCGATTTACTTTGAACCATTGAAAGCACCAATAACCAGGGGGGGGGGGTTGATTTTCCAAGAAAAAGATTAAATGATTGTTAAAAACTTGTTATTGCAGAATATTCTTGGGTGAACCCCCAGATCCTCCGGACCTTGGAGAGGGAGCACTTACTGCACGTGTTGGACAGGTTGTACAATTATTTAGCATCTGGTTTGATTTTGGCACTTGGTGCCCTTTTTCGTCCATTTTAAACAAGTCTTTATTTTTACCGACCTTCCCTGAGCTACCACAAATTGGGTTTAATCGGTTCAGGGAGTTTAGGCACGTTCGGATGTTTATTGGATACTAGCTGAAGGGCCCGAAAGGCAAGTTTGTTTTATGTTTTCATACTTTTTATCCAAAAATTTATTTAATTTCCACTAAAAATCAAAAAAATTCTCCTTGTTTAGCGGAAAAAAATTCTTTAAAAAAGTTTGGCTCTCTGCGTTGAAATACCTAACAGCTGGGAAAAATTTGTTTTAAAAGGGGTGGGAGGTTTTTTTAAGAAAACATACATCCCTGATTAATGTTTAGAACAAGTATGACAATAGCACCGAGGCCCTCTTCCCTTCCCATCCTCGTTAAATCTGACCATTTTGAGGCTCGTGATCAACCTCATAGAACAAACAAAAGGTTAGATAAATATCCAAGATTTACAAAATTCTTGTTCCGCATTTTTACTCTCAACTTTTTAATCCCTGGAATAAAACGTTTCTAACAATTTTAACCAATACAAATAGTTTTTCTTGTAGATTTCGTGGACTTTGAAAAGTATTTTCAGCACATTTTCAATATATCTTCAAGGAGAATTAAAAAATGCATGCAAACGAATCCATACAATCCAAAAATAGGGTTCTTCTTCCATATGTGTTACTAATCCAACCAACCACCTTGTGTTTTCAATCGGGACAAAATGTACTTTTTTGGGATTGGAATTCTTAATTATTTACGTTTTTTCGATTTAAAAACCAAGATATTAAAAAAAAATTTAAACCTCAAATAATGTAAAATTAGCCCAAATCTTTATTTTGAATAATCTCTTTTTTTGTTTATTTTCTTGTGATTTTTTGCAATTTTTTTTTTTTTTTTATCGATTTTGATGGTAATTATGTCGTTAGAACTGACAATGGTCAACGCAGATCGAAACATATTTTCAATAAATGTGGAACTAACCTCTACTTTTTTTACTCTACAGAGGTTTGTCCATCACCATCAACGAATTATAAATGTAAAAATACCAACCAAAAAACGTACTTAAAATAACACTGAAGGCAGTTGCCTAATTAGATATGTTTTTCTTTATTTTCTTATGTCTAGAGAATACAGGCACTCTGAGAGTAGTGAGCAGGGGGTTACAAGTGATGATAGTCAAGAGATGAGATTTTTTGCTACCTCGCCACCGGATAGATTTAAACGGATGGTGAGTATAGTGGCAACTAGGTTTTTTTGTTAAAAAAAACCTAAATTATTGAGCGATAAAATTTTTTACCAATCCTAGAACTTCTAGTATTATTTTTACGTTTTAGACAAAATCTGGTCATTTTCTCTGTTTTTTGTTTTGTAAAAATAAATTACCATTTTTTCAATCTCGACGGAGGGAGAGGGGGGGCTGTTTCGCCTCTTAACGTCAGCATTATTACAAGATGGATTTAAGCGGATGATGAGGATGGATGCCTATCAGACAACTATCTGTAGATTACTAAAAAGATTGCTAAATCTTAATTTTGTTTTCGACTGTTTAGGATGAGGAATCAAGTGAGAGATTAAAGTTTGGAGCGTTTGCTCGAACTGAGAGTTTACCGTGTCTAGAGGAGGAACTACAGGGACAGATAAACATAGAGAATAGACATCACGTGTTTAGAAATATACATCACGTGTTTAGAGAATATACATCACGTGTTTAGAGGAACACGAGCCATCACGTTTGTAGATGTTTTAGTCTTCTATAGAAATAACAGTGTCTAAAGTCAGTAACACGTGTTTTTTATTCAGGCGTGACGTTTTGAACACGTGTTTTTAATCAGCTTTAATGTGTCTTTTATAAACACTTAATTATTCAGCTTAAACACTTATTTATTCACCTTAAACATTCATTTATTTAGCTAATAAACTTATTTATCATCTTAAACACTTACGTACTATGCTAAAACACTTACTTAGTCAGCTTAAACACTTATTTATTGAGCTTAAACAATTATTTATTCAGCTTAAAAAGTTAATTCTGCAGATCAAACACTTATTTATTCAGCTTTAAAACTTATTTATTCAGCTTAAAAACTTATTTATTCAGCTTAAACACTTATTTATTCAGCTTAAACACTTATTTATTCAGCTTAAAAACTTATTTATTCAGCTTAAACACTTATTTATTCAGCTTAAACATTTTCATACACAGAGGAGTATGTCTATCTCGTTAATTTTGGTTTTTGACTCAAATTTCCAAGTTTGTTTGTTTGATCAGGAACCATTAATGAACCTTCTTCCAAGACCAAGGTATTTTTTAAGGAAAATATTGGTTGAGGGGTTTCTTAATTCAAGAATTGATACAAGATCCCCCCACCCCTCCCCTACACATGTTAATGATGATAATGATGATAATGATAATAATATAACAATAATAGCAATAATAGCAATGATAACAATGACAACAATGACAACAATGACAACAATGACAACAATGACAACAATGACAACAATGACAACAATGACAACAATGACAACAAGGACAACTTTGACAACTATGATGATGATAATAATGATAATAATAATTTACGATCAGACCTGGATCTGCGGTTAGCGTAACTAGCGGAGAAACAAGCGGAACAGACAGTCATACAGACACACAGTTCCTGATGTCGAGTGATAGCGGTAAATTAGCGGAACGAAGCATGGAACGCGGGGCGGTATCGGATCGAGGGGTTGGAACAGAAAGAGGAGGAAGAGGAAGAGTAGCATCACTAGGAAGTCAAACTACGGGGTAAGTTGAGTAAAATAAAAATTAAGCAATCGCCGTAAAATCTTATTTTCTGATCCTTTTATCTTTGCAGCCGGGCTTTAAATTCATTTTGGGATTCGAGTGAAGTGGTAGAACTTCACTGAAAGCCTGATTTGGTTTGATTGTTTTGATTTGATTTGATTTTGATTTGATTTTGATTTTGATTTTGATTTGATTTGATATGAATTGGATTGGTTTGGTTTGGTTTGATTTGATGGGATTTGATGAGATATGATTTTATTTGATTTGATGGTGGAAACTTTTGATATATTTAACTTTTACTGGTGTTATTAAAAGAATTTCATAGGTGGAACCAGTGCTTAGGATCCATTTAATTTTGATGCGGATCCGGACCCAGGATCCGCACTGGAAAAAAATGGATCCGGATCCGGATCCAGGTCATTTCATTAAGATTTACTGAATTTTTTTAACAAAAAATAATTTTCAAATTTTTTTTTATTTTTTTCACTTATTTTTATCCTTAAACTTGATGAACCATTCAGAAATGAGGAAATTTTTATAATATCTCTTTTTTAAGAGTAAAAATTTTTTTTGCAGTTTTTGGTTGATTTTTTACCCCTTGGATCCGGATCCGTGGATCCGCATATTTTTGCCGATACGGATCCAGGAATCCAAAATCTTGCGGATCCAACGGATCCGGATCCGGATCCTAAGCACTGGCGTGGAACTATCAGGTCTTTCAGGTCTACATCAGGTCTACATCAGGTCTACATCACGTCTAGATCGGTCTACATCAGGTCTGCATCACGTCTATCAGGTCTACATCAGGTCTATCAGGTCTACATCAGGTCTATCAGGTCTACATCACGTCTGTCAGGTCTACATCAGGTCTACATCAGGTCTACATTAGGTCTACATCACGTCTGTCAGGTCTACATCAGGTCTACATCAGGTGTACATCAGGTCTACATCACGTCTATCAGGTCTACATCAGGTCTATCAGGTCTACATCACGTCTATCAGGTCTACACCGAGTCTTATCAGGTCTATTAAGCCTACATCACGTCCACATTAGGTCTATATCACGTCTGTCAAGTCTACATCAGGTTTACATTACTTCTACATCAGGTCTATCAGGTCTACATCAGGTCTACATTACGTCTGCATCAGGTCACAGGTCCATCAGGTCCACATCAGGTCTATTAGGTCTACACCACGGCTATCACGTCTATAAGGTCTACATCACGTCTATTGCGTCTTATCAGGTCTATTGCGTCTTATCAGGTCCACATCAGGTCTACATCACGTCTACATCACGTCTAATCAGGTCTACATCAGGCCTACACCACGTCTATCACGTCTATAAGGTCTACATCAGGTCTATCAGGTCTACACCACGGCTATCGCGTCTTATCAGGTCCACATCAGGTCTACATCACGTCTACATCACGTCTAATCAGGTCTACATCAGGTCTACACCACGTCTATCACGTCTATAAGGTCTAAATCAGGCTTATCAGGTCTACACCACGTCTATCACGTCTTTTTAGGTTCACATCAGGTCTACATCACGTCTAATCAGGTAATCATCAAGTCTATCACGTCTATCAAGTCTACATCAGGTTGCTAAGATATTAGGATTAGAAAAATAGAGTTTGGGGATGTTATTAGTTCCTTTAAAACATATTTCATAATTACTAAATTTAACTTATCTTTAACTTACATTTTTTTAGTATTAAAAAATGTTTGGCGGATATTTTGAATGAAGAAAAAGAGAACACAAGGCATTTAACCTTAATTCTTTTCGTAGGACCAAAAATAGTGATTTTTTTAAATACTTAGCCCCCCACCCCCTGGGAAGGTGTTAATGGAGTAGGAATAGGGGGGAGATGTTATAGTTCTGACTTGAACTGGTAGGCCGCCCCCCTCTTTTTTTGCTCATCCGAAATTTTATTTACCGAGCCCACTTAAGCATTAAATCCATTGATTTGATTCCCCTTAAATATAGGATTAAGATTAAGCTAAGTAGGGTTTGATTATAAAGAAAAAGACATGAAAGGATAAATGATTAGAAGATTAAGTGGAGCATCAGTGTTCGGAACCTCAGAGCTGGATAAGGAGTTTGTGATGGTTGATCTGAAAACACCATTTGCTCAACCCTCCTCATTCCCGTTAGTATTCCTGCATTCATTTATTTATTTATTCATTCGCTCAACTCTCTTCATTCCTGTTAGTACTTATTTATTCATTAATTTTTTTATTCATCTCTTTCGTTAGTATTCTCATTCATCCGTTCATACATTTACAAGTATTCATTTATTTGTTTATTCACCCATTCATTCTTTCCATTGGTATTCCTTTATTTGTTTATACACCCATTCATTCTTCCCATTGGTATTCATTTATTTATTTATTCCGATTCATTCTTCCCGTTGTTATTCATTTATTTGTGTATTCACCCATTCATTCTTCCCGTTGGTATTCATTTATTTGTGTATTCACCCATTCATTCTTCCCGTTGGTATTCATTTATTTGTGTATTAACCCTTGGTATTCATTTATTTGTGTATTAACCCATTCATTCTTCCATTGGTATTCATTTATTTGTTTATTCACCCATTCATTCTTCCCGTTGGTATTCATTTATTTGTTTATTCACCCATTCATTCTTCCCGTTGGTATTCATTTGCATATTTTGTCTTGTGATTACATAATAATCATTCATTTTTGCATTTTTGTGATTTGTGTAAATAAAATTATTTTTTTTATTATTTACCTGTCATTCTGTAAACATTCTTTTTTTGTCCCATTCTGATATTCATCTTATCTTTCTTAGTGGGAACCTGTGAGAAAGGAAGGCGATATAAAAAACAATAATTGAGTTCATTTGAAAATTATACAAAAAAATAGTTTCACTAATAACTTTTTAAATCCCTAATTTAGTGGAATGGGTCTGTTTAGACTGCACAATTGCTTTGTGACATGTTCTTTGGACATTTAAAGTCATAATTTGAGTCTTAAAGTCGTCTTCCTATTAAACTAATATAATATTTATATTAAAGGGAACTAATATAGTATTTATATTAAAGGGAACTAATATAATATTTATATTAAAGGGAACTAATATAGTATTTATATTAAAGGGAAGGCGGACAAACCTCAGGCGGTGATCCTTCTCTTGGTTCTTTCTTTAAGGAGGTGTGAATCTAAAATTATGAATTAAATTTCAATTATATACAATACATAATATACATGTATACTCTGCCTGTCTGTACCTGAACGACTGAATGGATCGGGCCCAAATTCACATGACTACTGGATTAGGGTATTTTGCCCGGATAAAAATGTCGAGAATCTTTTTTTGGACCAATTTAAAAAGAAAAATATTAAGAATCATTCATAAAGTGCACTTTCAAACAATTTAAAGCTAAAATTGTTAATCGGAGCCGTAACAGCATAGTTTTTTGTTTTTCCTAAAATCATAATTTTTTAAATTTCATTTAAAATTTAAATAAAATTTTCGAAATTTATGAAAGGTAATTGTTCAAAAAAAAATAAACTTAGAATACAAAATATCCGTTCGATGCCATTTATCGAGTCTTCTTAAATTTTTTTTTTGGGACACCCTGTACTACGTTGTATTTTAAAGAATGAATTAACTGAACTGTGTTGCTATGGTGTAAGTATGAACTGTCCCAATGCACGTGTTTGGTTTAAATTGAATTATGCAAATTGAAATCTTGTTTTTCAAACACAAAGTTCAATTGAATAATTTATTTAAATATTTAGATGTATTGATTGATTGATTTATAACTAGTTTGATCATCTAATAGATTGAATAATTTATTTAAATAGCTTGATATTAATTTTTTGAAATAACTTGATTGATTGATTCATTGAAAAATTTATTGATTGATTGTTCCAGGTTTCTGCAGCTCCGACCCTCCTGTCTCTTCCCCATTCCGGAGCTATCCAAGAAACCCTGGACAGCTGGAGCTCTCAGCTCAATCAGTTTGAGTCCAACCTAGAGGAATATAGTGAGCTAATCGATGATCTAGGCTCAGCTAGTGAACAGGACTAGATTTTCAAACTGTTGGCTCATTCAAGAAAATAGAATTGGAAAGTCTTCAACAATATTAAAGAGAACAGTGTATGTACCGTACTGCTTGCTGCACCTGTACACACGGAGTACAGCGTATGTACAAATCTTGTTTCTTATTGTAACATTTAATCCCTTGATATCGTTACAATCCCAGACATAAATCCTAGGGAAATCAAGATCAATCGTTGCCCCCCCATCTTTGAGGGTTAATGCAAGACTTCACTTTCATTCCCAGTACCAGTTCATAATTCACCCAAACCTCTCTTCTTGTGTATAATATCTATCTCTCAAGGTCTTTAATAAGTGGGTGGTTTAACATTACATATTTTATTGGTACAAATATATCTGTTAATATCTATTTATATTAGATCATATTCCATATATTTGTGGAGTCCCTCAGCGGTAAAACAAGCCTCCATTGACTCTTATATGAGGAAGAGTCCCTCAGCAGTTAAGCAAGTCTCCACTAGTTCCTGTATGAGGCAGAGTCCCTTAGCAATTAAGCAAGTCTCCACTAACTCTTATATATGAAGAGTCCCTCAGCGGTTAAGCAAGTCTCCACGAATCTGCCCCTGATCTCTAGAACCTGGGAGTCTGTGGGTAGTTGAACCAGCTGTATATAGGTGAGACTACATTTCTCTGATTCTCTTGTCTGTTCTGTAGCTCTAGTGATCTTCTGAGACTCCAGTGTTTCTAATCATAGAAACACCAGGAATGTTAGAGTGTGTGGGTAGTTGGACTAGCTGTGTTGAGGTGGAACCACACATCTCTGATTTTACTGTAAACTTGAGATATCTATCTCATCAATGGTTTATTGTATTCCTGAAGATATGATCATGTAAGATATAATCGTGTAAGTCCACATGTTGTAATCCTTCTGAGAGCTGTCCATGAAGTGCCCGTCCCCTAGCCTTTGGTTGAACAAACGGAGCTTAACTCATACGTCTGTTCGGTTCAAAGGTCTAGGGTGCACTGATCAATCTTAATGAATCAGTTCAGGTTAATTACTCTGCTCTGATTTTAGGTATATAGCAAGAGTTGAAGATTAGAACAAAGGACCACGCCTTTAAATATTACATTATGAACATTGCTTGAAAATCTTTTTAAATTATTGTCCATTTCTTTTGTCAACTTGCAATATCAATGTATGCATGATAAATAATATATAATATAACCTGTACAAAAATCGTCCCAAATATGTACTCTACAGCTTACTAGAGTGAAATACAGAAAACTCTTAAATAATAATAAGAAGACGACTTTTAAAATCGTGTTATTTCTTTAAAAATCCAGTTGTGCAGTATGAATAGATTCATTTTACTAAATTTCTGACTTAAAAAATGTCTAGTAAAATAATATTCGATTTGTAACAAAATCAAATACAATTCATTACTGCTTTTATAATGTCGTCTTCCTATGACATGTTTTTTTTTGTTTTTTGAATGATCCAGTGAAAACCTGAAAACTGTGAAAAATATAACATTTAAACAATACTTTAAGTGTATTTGATATTAAAAAGAAATTTCAGCCAATCTCACTTATATGAATACATAGCAAGAGCGCATTAAATGTCGTCTTTATATTTATTTTAAAACTTTGAAAGCTGTACTTCACGAAAAGAAAGCTGTTGAAATGTTCGCAGCTTCAAAGGGTTGATTACGATTTATGAAAATATATCGAAATATCATTGAAAGACATCATACATCTTTAAGAAACTGATTTTTATTTTTGATTCTAGGTAAATTATTAGCCCTGAAATATGACGGATAGCAATTGATATATTAAACTCGTTTTAATTATGTTGAGAATACGACATTATTAAAAAAAAACTCTTGCTATTTATTCTTATATCTGGGATTCACTGTAGTTATGCAAGGTATTAAATAAATGGGAACTCTTCATATTGCACAATTGTTGTGTCAGATGTTCATTGGACTATTTAGGACTTGAGTCTAAAAGTCGTCTTCCTTTTTCAGAGCTTTTTTATTCTCACTGTAGTACTATGTATCAACAAAATAAATGTTTTGTACAAATGTACAGCAAAATATGCGTGTGTACTGCATTGTACAATTTAAAACTACACCAAGTGTGATGTTTATAAACTCAGCGTTTTTATTTAAACATGAAAGGAATGAACATTTTATGTCGCCACTTGAACTAGTATTTGAATAAATCACTCTGAAGCCCTATAAAACATTTTTCAACTAAAAGATGTGCATTGTGAATTGTGCAGACCATATTTAGATCTTTTAATTTTCATTGTTTCTAGAAATATTAATATGTTCGAAAAATCATCATATGTAAATAAAGAGCTATTTTTTATTTCTATTTTTAAACTTTTTAAAAATTTTAGGTTTTCGAGAAGATAAAGTTATGACATCGGATGAAAAGACTAGTATTTAGAGGAGGCTCGGAATAGAAATTAAAGAGGATGTGGCTCGGAAGGGGAAACTAATGCTATTCGTTTGTTATGCAAAAACCAACGTGTTGTAATGAGCGTTATCGGCAAAGAGATAGAATATATATTAGAGTGGAATTTAGAGAATCTCTCGGTTTGAATTTGTCGGTCCCTTTCAGCCTGAAAGGGAGTTCAAAGTGTACAAATCATGTAAATGTTCACAAATTATATGCAGTAGAGTACAATAATAAAGTATGTTCCCTAGACTTTCAATTTCAAAATTTTTAAAACTTTATAATGAATTAAGTGAATAAAAAACATCATTTGATTTATAGTTATAACGGAAAATCATCGTCTGTAAAGTGAAAGGCATAGAGTCTATGTGAATTTGTGAAATGATCATTGGTCAATTATGAAACCAGTCTATTTCATAATTTGGTTTTCTTTTAATATTAATTTTAGATTTTCTATAAAATGATATTCCAGGGCCCAAAAGATTATTTAGCACAAATATGTGAGGTATGTCTGCAGTATGGAAACAGTACAACAAAATGGCCGTTTTACGCTTTTCCAATTTTGCTTCTTGCGGTGCCCCGAATCCGTTGTGATATCTTGTAATATATGTTATGAAGTATGTTTTTTTTGCAATCTTGTGTAACCCCTAGACTTTGCTAATTATAAAGATGAGGCGTTGGAAATTTATCCAACTATTGTGTACGCCTGTACAACTATACAGCTGTATTTTGACGTCATTGGGTATTTTGGTTGTTTGAGAGTCTAACGATCAACATTAAAACCTTAGATATTTAACATAATTGTGAATGTTCTGTGCTAAAATTTAACTAAAACTAATGATATTAATTTGTATTATAAAATTTATTATACAGGGTGTCCCAAAAAACATGGGAATTCAGTGACGAATTCGATATCGTCTTTTCAAATAATTCTTAGATTTAGTATGGTGATACCTACTGAGAAAGCTGTAATTTGTAAGAGTTTCGTCTGCTGTGTTCACATTTTGTTTGTTTATGTTTTGACGGCATACGGTTGTACTTAATAAAACAAAAAAATTACAGTATACAAACAGAGTAAACTTGTCAGTCTTCACTGTTCATCTTGCGGAGACATTATAGACACATCTTAACAGTCTTTCACCCTTTTCATAAAATAAACTCTAGCAGACATAATAATATTATGGCTTATGAAATTAGGTATTACAATGCTAATTCATAACAAAGACGATATCGAATTCCCATGTTTTTGGGACACCCTGTAGCTGAATTTGTGATAAAGTTACGAATCTCTTTTGTATCAAAAATAGCCAATAATTGTTAGTGAAAATTTTCAGATGTCGTCAAACATTTTTTCTGAGGTTCTATGGAATGAGATTTTAGGCAATGAAGAAGTGAGGGGACCAGAAATTTCCAATATTATAATCGATAAATAAATTTTGTGTAAATGTCGTCTTCTGTTTAATCTTAGGCAAAGAAATTGTATCACATAAATTAATGCATTAATATTCCTCTTCAATTGATATATGGGGATTTGTTTCAAAAATATCAACCATTAAAGAAAAATATATCACAGAAAGTTTCGTTAAAATGCGAATGAAAGGACGACCTTTACTTAGAAGTCTTTTAAAATTGATTACAAAAGGTTTTAGGCATGAATTATTGGAGGATTTTAAAAGGCGGCCTATAGAAATATATTGGTTAAAATAAAACTAGGGAATATAAAGACGACTTTTAGACTAAATTTTTGATTAAATAGTTCAATGAACATAAAATACCGAAATTGAGCAGTGAACATGCAGATTGTCTAGATTTCGTCTTTACATTCCGAAGTTTTATGTACAGGGTGTCCCAAAAAACATGGGAATTCAGTGACGAATTCGATATCGTCTTTGTTATTAATTAGCATTGTTATACCATAATTTCAAAAGCCATAATATTATTTTGTTTGCTAGAGTTTATTTTATGGAAAGGGTAAAAAGACTACAAAGATGTGTATATAATGTCTCCGCAAGATGAACAGTGAAGACGGACAAGTTACTCTGTTTGTATAATGCAATTTTCTTGTTTTACTAAGTACAACGAGGGGAGGAAGGCCAACCACATCAATCTCTAGTCCGAACCACATTCTCATCATTTTCTCGTCCGAACCACATCGAAATCCTCGTCCTTTCAATATTATTTTTTTTTAAGTGTCCGATCCTTGAAAATAAATACATTTTTTTTAAATATGGCGACGTTAGGGCATAAAACATGACTAGAATAAGGTTTTCCAAGGATTTTGAGATGTTGAAATCTTCAAATCCACGAGAATGATGTCAAACATTATTTAAGTTCAAAATTGAATCTCTTCTGCCTTCAAAAGGGTTAAAATTCACAAACAAAAATTTATACCAAAGAATTCGCGTGAACATGGTCTTTAATCTTTCCATTTCAACCCATACAAAATAATCATTAATTTCTGATTTATTGACAAATAAGGTAGATTTGTTGTCCCCACTAAGAGATCACTACTGCCTGCCGCATGCTTAAAATTCTAGAAAAAATAATGTTCAATTTATATTATTCAAATCATTTGCTACAATTAATTGGTCACAACCCTATGAATTCAAACAGTATTTAATCATATAAAAATTGTAAGTCATATCTCTAACCCAAATTCAGCTGAAATACAGGGTGTCCCAAAAAACATGAGAATTCAGTGACGAATTCGATATCGT